GAAAATATTTCCTCTTTTTTTGTTTGTGTTACACATTTAAAAGAGTTTATTAAAAAGGAAATTATGTGTTAGTCGAGATATTTTAGCCTTTTTTTTGGGTGATTTTGCATTGATCTTATTGTGCAAAATTGATCTTACCATAATACATATTTCAAAATAAGATTTTGTGCTAAAGAAAATCGAATAGGATAATGATTTCTTAATAAATAATCCTTCAAATTATATATATATAATGAATTGGCAAAAATATATTTATAAAAATCTTACGAATAAAAAGTTATAATAACAAATGTATTTAGAAAATGTTAATATAGATTGATTTGGTTGGTCAAGTTAAATATTAAAATAGTTTAAAAAGTTAACTATATTGAATGGCAATTCCAAAAAAATTGTTAGTTTCTATTAAACCAAATAATCTTAAATTCCATGTTTCTATTAAAACAAATATTAAAATATTTCATGTTTCTATTAAAACAAATATTAAAATATTCCATGTTTAAAATTTGGATCAAGATCTTAATAAAATATTTGAAATTAAGAAAATCTTACCAATCAACCTAAATTTTAGGCATTGTATCTTACAAATAAAATTAAATATCAAACGTAATAATTATCTTTCCTTTAATATTGAAAACCAAAATTTTTTTTTATCAACAGAAAAAATGAACGATGGAGATTAAATCTCTAAACCCGATTAATAGATCCGAATGATTAATTAGATCCGCGTGTAAACCCGATTAAGAATGTATTTTATTTCATTTGAAAACATTAGTGTAAAACAATTGTATACTTCAGCTTAAATAGTATAGATTTTTAATATATAATGAAATGACAAAAGTTTATTTATAAAAATCTTACAAATAAAAAGTTATATTATCAAATGTATTTAAAAAATGTTAATATAGATTGATTTGGTTGGTCAAGTTAAAAATTAAAATAGTTTAAAAAGTCAACTACATTGAATATTGCATACTAAGAAAACATGGAATGGTTTATATTAAAACAAATATTAAAATACTCAATGTTTAAAATTTCGATCAAGATCTTTATAAAATATTTGAAATTAAGAAAATCTTGCCAATTAAGCTAAATTTTAGGCATTGTATCTTACAAATAAAGTTAAATATCAAACGTAATAATTATCTTTCCTTTAATATTGAAAACCAATTTTTTTTTATCAACTGAAAAATGAACGATGGAGATTAAATCTCTAAACCCGATTAACATATCCGTTTAGTTAGTTTGATCCGCGTGTTAACCCAGTTAGAAATGATAATTATTTCATTTTGAAACTATAGTGTAAATTTATTGTGTACTTCAGCTTTAATAGTATAGATATAAAAGAAAAGAAAAAAAAAATACGCTTCATCAACCAGCCAATGTCGGAAACAGTAAATAGAAGCAACAAATACGCTTCATCTCTCTCTTTTTTTTCTCACTTCTCTTTTTGTTATTAACCTTTTAACAAAACTTAGAAGAATTATACTTTCTACAGTTGGTGATAGCAAAATATTTTATGGATGGAGGAGAACATGTGTTATAAGTAAAATCTACACAATAAAATAAAATGTTAAAACTGTATCACATGCTTAATATTCATGTTTTTTCTTTACAAGATAGATATATGCTTACATAGAAAAAAGGTCATCTAGCTAGTTCCATACACAAGAATTATTTAGTCATCCATAGTTATCAACAAAACGACTAACATCAAATCAATAGTCAATCATGGAAAACATCAAAATCATATAACTATTCTGAAATGTTAATCAATTTGTCTGTTGTACACTTGTACTCGTAAAACCTACTTTTATACTCTCTTTTAAAAAAATATAAATCATAAATCTCATAAAAAGAGCTATGATTGAAAGATGTGCTTTTAATACGAGACCCCAGTCCCGGCCATACATATATACAGAGGATAGCATTAGCATAAACCTAACTGGATATTTCGTAATTCAACCCTAAAAATTCTTCCAACAAATTTCAATGCTCAAAATCATAATATAAGTGGTTAACGAATCGGATTTAACCTGAGTTCTAAATGCATGTGTTTCTTATCTATCAATATTTAAAACTCTTGTTTATCAAAGGGAGAAATCGATCGCGTGAAATCCACTCGCGGCGATTTCTCTCTCAAATCTCTCCTTCTTCTGAGCAGAATCTCTTGCTCCGTTGGTAGGATCCTCCGTCGATTCCGGCGATGTTGAGGATTTCGTGGCTCATGGTTCTTCATCCTTGATCTGCTCCATCTTTTTTTCTAAAACGATCGAGCAAAACCAAGGGAGAAGTGGAGAGGAGAAGCTTCTGTGAGACACCATTGATTCCGGTGGTGTAGCAGCGCAGAGTGGAGGAGGAAGACTTCACGGCAAGAAATGAGGAAGAAGACAGTTAGATCTGGAGACTAGAGGTCCTGGAGGTTTTATGAGGCCGCCGTTCGATAGGGGAGGTCGGCTCCGGTCCGGTGAAGCTAAACCACTGTCAATAGATCCGAGATCTACTCCCTACTGCCTTCAATCTCACCATCAAGCCTGAAGTCTTCTCGGTATCGGAACAACTCGGGTTCTTCCTCCTCTTCGAAACTTCTCTACGGTGGCGGAGAGGCAAACTGATCCTTGATCACCTCCTCCGTTCGACTCGCGACGTCCAGGCACACCGGAGGACCTGTTCCGGCGTGGATCTGCAGTTTTGGGCGGCGGCTGCGACGTGTTCTACGTCTGCAGATTAGGGTTTTGCAGTGATCGGTTAATTTCCGGTTTTGCAAAATCGAGTCGGTTTTGTATTTCGTTTGGTTTAGTTAAATTGGATGTTTGTGGATTGGGCCCTAATGGGTTATTGTATGGGCCTATATCCGGAAATATGTAGCCCATTGAACATAAGTTTTTTAAATTGAAAGCACTTTTACAAAAAAAAAAAAATATATATATTTAATATCAGACACGTACGCAGCGAATTAGCGATCGACTAGTGTGTATATTGCACTGAACATTGATTAAGGCTACTTTTTTCCCCCAAGTTTATTTCGAGAAATAGAAAGTGGGATCGTTTATTCCCATGAATGTGGGGGATCTCAAAGTTGCTATTATGTGGACAGAAACAACGAACGTGTCATGCTTTGACGTGAGAGATATCAGAACGTAGCGTCACGATAACTGTGAGAACGAGTGGGTCACTCTCCTATAGTCCTGACTCCTATATATGTTCATATTTACAGGAATTACGTTTGAGTTTTTTTGCACTAGATACTAGCTAAATATTAGCTGATCAGTATATATATATAATAACCAAACCAAGAACAGATTAAAGAGGAAACCCTCAATTTTGACTTCCCTATGAGAGAAAACTACGTACAGCTTCTTGCATTATCAATTTTCAGACACATAAACTGTAACCATGGATATATGAATATTTATGTACGTAAAATTGGAAGCATTAATTGCTCGGGCGTATGGAGAAGATGGGCTGTTTGGACCAAACATAGTAATACACATTATATATTTGATTATTCAAAACAAAAAATATATTAAATAGTAATTCGTCGACCATAGCTAGAAGAAATCTAAAATGGAATAAAATAGAAAGAAAAAAAAGAAAGAGTGATAAACAAACCAAAAGAAAGAAAAAAATGAATGTCTAATAGAGAGAGATGGGGCATAGAAGAGGGAATCCATGTGAAGGCAGATGATTCAGATGGGCTCGCCAGCTTTCATTTTATCTTTTCTTTTTTTGGAATCATTTCTCTTAAATTATTTTAATAATAAGATGAATCATATATTAGTCTTTAGTTCTGATATTTTCTTGCAATAATTTATTTTTTCTATAAAAATATCTTAACTTGTAGTTGTAGACATCCTCCAACCTTTTTGTCCAATAACAAAAAAAAATTATGAACTTCCTTAATTATATTTTAACATTTCCAGCTGAATAATGCCATCAAACTTACTTAATTTTTTATGTAACTGATGACAGTGAATTCGTGTTTTTTTAAAAAAATCTTATAATAGTAAATCTCTTTTAGGTTTGAATTTGTGAAAATATATTATTTAGCACACCTGACATGTTTAAACGAGTCGAATCTCAGAATCTTTAATCATGCATATTAAAGTACTGTTAACTTATTTATACTACAGTGTATGATTTTTAAAAACATCGGTAGCTCAAAATTGAAAAACAAATCTACACACTATAGAATTCTTAAATCATGGTGAGTATATGATCACTATATGTACGAGAAGATGAGACTGTTCACTTACTTAATTATTTGTGTTGGTTCATAAATTAAATCATAATCATTGGTAAACTTTCTTGTCACACTTGTATATATGGTTTACAGAATTACATTACTAGTCGTTTTCTTTTTGTCTATATGATTAATTGATGTTTATATATTACAATTAATCTGGAAGGTATGTCTTCCTTTTTTTTCTTTCTTTGCTTTTTTTTTTTCAGTTTCAAAGTCTTTTCGATTGGTCCACTTACATGTGAAAACCTGCACACTAACTATAATTATCAAATATTATTTCATAACTACCAAACTTATATAATTAAAGTATAATCATTCAAAGTGGTACTTCCGTTAAACAAAACATTTGATCATTAATCATTGATCATTTCATTCATGTTTTTTTCTTTCAAGTTTTCCAAACCGTTCGTCCGTTTTTTTACTTATGTGTAAATAGAGTTTACAAATGTCCGTCCAACCGAAATTTTACCACATGAAAGTTTGGCCATATGTGCTTCGCCTTTTGATCAATGATTATAGGATGAAAATACAATCATTCTCAGGTGACTCAGAAAATATTACAACAGCATTGTAACACAGATCCTATCCACATTTTATAATTCTTTTTTTTTTTGTGAAATTTTCCCCCAAAAAACCAAGAAAAAAATTAAAAGAAAATGATCTCTCGAAACATAAGAATCCGGCTTCCGGACAAAAAAACACCATTAGCTAGAAGCAGACAGGAAAAAAAAAAGAGGAATTAATTAAGATCCTCAGAGATACTGTCGAGGTGAGGCCGCCACGTGGAGACTGACGCCGATCTGCTGTGCCGCCGGCGATGACGGTGTTCTTTACCGTTGGACTCAGAAGACACAACTTCTTCCAAGTACTTGTCGCACAACTTCACACATTCATCGTCACCTTTAACGTCTCCGGATTGGGTGGAATCGACGACGTTAGGGTTGTTGAGAGACTTTCTACTACGGTGAGGAGCGTCCTTTCTCCGCCTTTTCTTCTCCGGCAAGGAAGAGTCCGGGATAAGAAAATAGATGCTTCCTCGCTTGAGCTCAGATTCAGGGGACAAGATCAAGATTTTGCGGACAACTCCTTGAGAACATGGTTTGCTTAGGACATGGTTGGGGTTCGCTTGGAGGATCTCTCCGGCGGTTATAGACCGTGTGATCTCCTCAACGTAGCCGTTTAGATGAACGATCCTGATCAAATCTAGTGCTCCGCATGGAAGAACACAAGCTAGACAACACCTTATGCTGTTTCCCATCTCTCTCTCTCTATTTGTTTTTTGTGTATTTATTATATATTGAACTGATAGTTAATCAAATTTATGGGGAAGAACAAGTTGGAGAAGGCGAGGTTATATAGGAGCCAACACTTTACATAAACACCAAAGCGGGCTTGACCATACGTCTACGGACCCTGAAATGACTGAATTGCCCTCTTGTCTTCTCGTTATTAACTTGAATCCACCCTCCTCCTAAAACATTACTATATGTGTTAAATAACTAAGTTATCTCCATATATACATCAAAGTCATTTCTATTATTTGGCTTTATTCTGGATTATAAGATATTTTAGTATACATGTGATGATTTTTGTTTACTCTCTGCAGTTCGGTAATGTAAGATCTCTGAGCTGAATCTCTGTGAGGGAGATTAATATAGTAAATAATCAAAGCAACAATTAGAAGGAAAATGTCGAAATTAGTCGAGTAGAGAGATATTCAGAGACGCTATGTGACAAATTTTGATAAAACAAAACTCTTTTTATTTTTGTATTATTACTCGAATAATACCAAATCTTGAAACTAGGAGCGTGTTGGGATGAGATAAACTTACTCGTAATTATTTAATGTGAAACAATGACCAAAGACTTGGAAACTGAAAAAGGATGATCTATTTTACCCGTTTAAATTTAAAGCGTACTATAGATTACGGATACTTGAGTAGGATTTGGTATCAATGTTGGAAGTAACAATCCATTTAACTTTTTCTACTCAATATAAGTTTTTTTTTGTCTGTCGTTAATATTCCATATAACTACATTTTTCTCGTTGCGTGTGCTCAAGCTATATCACTTTTGGAGTTGCATATATAGGCTTATGCAAGATCTGTAAAATTATGGAATCCTCCAGTATTATAATCACTAGCTAATCACCAAAAATAGTGGTGCAGTCAACATCCGCATTTATATAGAAAGCTATTTTAATAACTAACTGCACTTTCTTTCGATTTTATTTTAAATTTCAACAATTAGTATATTTTTAACTAATGTGGTCGCGCATTTGAATAACTGCATGCCGTTAATGTATGAATTAAAACACCCATATATATTACGTTACGGTTGTTCAAGGATCAAATACCCAATTTTACTTAAAATATTAATATGTAAGCTTAAGCATTGGTTCAACGAAGTTAATTAACATCAAATATGAAAATAAAATAAATCCCCGTAAGTAAAACAGCTGTCTTCAAGGACAAAACAATAGTAGTATAATGCAGACAATGTTATACGAATGTATTTCTCCTTTAAAATATATATTGCTGTACTACATATTATTCGCTTATATAGAAAAATAAATTAGTTTACGTACGTTATTATTCAAATGAGTTAAACCATATTAATAGCACTGTCAAACGTAGGAACCATTTAAGTATGTTTATTCATACTACTAGTACTTAAAATTAAATTATTGTGTTGCTTTTAAGACTTATTGTTAATGACGATTCTCGCTCTAATTAAAGTCAATACCGTACGTACGTTAGTATGTACTTAAACTTAACTAAGAAAATATACAACTTGCGGGGGGATATATAGATTACATGCAGATGCAGTTGAAGACCTGTTGGTCTCGGTGTTTAATGACTATTTACGCTTACTTGATTAAGCAAGAGAAGGGGATCAGGGGACAAGTAATCCGCAGGACCACATTAATAGTTTATATACGTACTTTTAAACTTTTGATGATAAAATTAATTATTTGAATTTTTTTTCGTAAATAGTAAGTGCACGTAACCCCAAACTGTATATAAAACTGGTTTCCAATAAAAAAGAGGACCTCAGTCTAATTTAAATTCTAAGTTGAGGATCTATAATGTAAAATAATTAATTAGGTTCTCACAATGCATTCACGTTGCAAATTAACTTCATAACATCTTCTCAGGAACACAAAACAAAACAAAGATATCAGAAACATACTAATAAGAATGCTGAAAAACCAAATGATTAATAATGATGAACAAAAGCAGCGCTAAGAGTACAGATTAATTAAAACAAGAAAAATCTTGGTGGCAGAAAATAAATCTTTGAAACGATTTAACGATATCGACATGAACGAAGAAGCTTCGTCGTACGGAGGTTTCAGGCACCGACGACGTACGATAGGCGCCCAAAAACATATTAAATATTGCGAGATTAATAAAGTTTCTTAATTAATGGAGTATGTTTAATGAGAGAGTGGCGAACTTTTATAATTAGAACACAGATTAATTAGGTTTTGCAATTGGGTGTGTGTGCATGCGGCACAATGTGTTATAAATCTTTCTTATGAATCTTTTAAAAAATGTTTAGTGGGATCATAATTGAAGAACGTGAGGCAAACCTGTCTTGTTCCACAATTTCACAACTCTTCCACGGTGGATCTTCAACCACTTAATCAAGTTTGCAATATTTAAAAAGGATGATATGTTAAATCATTTTAAGAGCATTAATCTGTCCAAATTAATCATAAATATTTTTGCTAGCTCCATTTGCCTCTTATTAACTATACTATCTTTATACGTGGGGAATATGAAACATGTTCCATACGAACTGATCATGAGTAATTGAGTACATGCACAATCTCCACATTAGCCTTGAATAGCTTGAACGTGAACTAATAAGTGATTATTCAAACTCATTTGGAAATTTTGTAAAACAAAAGTGAGATATTCAATTCTCGTCGTTCTATGCGTTTAACTATAACAACTAATCATAATTCAAATTGCGGTTAAATGATTTGAACCATACTTCTTATTACACACGTCCTTGCTGACCTTATTACTAGAAAAAAAGAACTGATACATTATTAATAGAAAAGTATAATACTACTTATATATACTTATCCCCCCAACGCCGAGGAAGATTTGATTTTAGCCACTCTTTTTATTTATTTTTATTCCAAAAACCAACGTATATTAATTATATAAGATTATGGAATGAAATGGTGTTTAAGGGGGGACGTACCTGATCGAATAAAGACAAACCCAATCAAATAATTTAAAGTTATAAGCATAGATAGATATTGGAGATATCTCCAGCCTAGAACACACGTTTGTTTAGATTTACCCTCGTGTGCAATATCTCTTTCTTTTTTTGTGTTTTTTTGGAGCGTAAATAATTATCGTAATCTTAATTTGATATGATCATGCTGCACGAACTTCTATTCCAAACTCGTTTCCGTGTTAGTTCAATTTAGGAAATCTACTTTTTTTTTAAGAGATTCTACCAAAATATTAACATTACAAAACCACATCCCTATATTAGTAAAAAAAAAGTACAAAAAGTGATTTCGGGTCGGGTCAATTTCAAAAAATTACCCAAAATTTGTAATTGGATCTTTTAAAATTGGATAGATTAATGGGTTTGGATACATACACCGGATACTTTCCAAATCTAATTTTAGAATTGTATTATTTCCATAACTAATTATATGATTTACTAATATTTCTCTAACTAATTTAATACAATCTATTTAAAAAATATTATTCTTCTTTCACTTTTATTTGATATTATTTTTAATTTATGATATTATACTATATAATATAAATATTTAATAAAAATTTAACTTTTTTTTGCATATGTTGCAATTTGAATTTTTCAAAACGGACATATAATACTCAACTACACTCGGTTAAATATTTTGGACAATGGTTTAAAATCATTATAAGTATGACCAATATTAAAACCATTGTTACATGAGCATATTTAAAATTTCAAATAGTTTCAAAATATTATAAATATAATTTTCAAATATATAAAACATTTAGAATTTAAAATATTGAAAATGTTTTTTTGACGACATAAATGTAATTTTGGAGACATAATTTTTATTGATAAAATATATTATATATCAAAATACGTAAATTTTAGATAATTCACGGGTAGTTTGTTAAAATCACAATTATAATGATAAAGCGAGTTACGAATAATGTTTTTTACGAAATGAATTCTGTTACGAGTTGGAATTTCAAAAAACAATATTGTAAATATGTAAATTTTACGTATATTCCTACTTTTACTACAAAAATAGTCAAAATGAATAATTTATCGACAAATATTATTTCGTGCTGTTAAATTTTCACCGTGTTTTTAATTGTATCAAAACTCAGTATATGATTATTTACTCGCTTTTTCTTTTATTATTTGATTTAAACATATTATAAAAATATATGATTTACCGTAATCGACTGCATTCTAACAAAATTAAAATGTAACATATTCTAATCCGTTAAAAGTTATATATATGTAATTATTTCCTCCGCGTTGTAGCGCGGATCCGAACCTAGTTAAATATACAAAATATATACAGTATTGGTTTTGCATGATCTCGTTAATTTCGTTGTACGTGTATTTTAACGTTGCAGAGGATATGTACAGACAATCTTTTGGCTGTAAGGCTTATTATTGACCGTTTGTCAACTCTCAGATTTGCAAACAAAAAAATAAATTATAATAATTCAGGCGTCAGCAATTTAACTATAAAGTTCAAAAGTCATATGGGCTCTAAGTGAAGCCCGTTTTATCGGCCCATGTAAAATCGTTGTCAGGAGTTTCTGACCAAAAAGTCAATAATTCAACGGCATATTAATATGACACATAAAAATAGTAGAGACTCTATAATCAGAAGGTATATAAAAGGGTAGAAAAATGAAAGAGAGAAGAAGAGACAAGATGTTGATCCATGTAATAATTATATTCATGGTCATAACTACAATCCTAATATCGACGACATGCCATACAAATGTAGCCAACATTAACGTATCAATGTTCCCGGCGATCCTTGTGTTCGGCGATTCAACAATCGACACCGGCAACAACAACTACATCAAAACCATCATACGGGCTAATTTCCCTCCTTACGGTTGCAATTTTCCCGGCCATAACGCTACCGGAAGATTCTCCAACGGTAAACTCATCCCTGACTTCATAGCATCTCTTATGGGAATCAAAGACACCGTTCCTCCTTTCCTCGACCCGCATTTGTCAGATTCCGATATCCTCACCGGAGTGTGCTTTGCTTCGGCCGGTTCCGGTTACGACAACCTCACAGATCGAGCAACTTCGACCCTATCAGTCTCTAAACAGGCGGATATGCTCAGAAGCTACGTGGCAAGGCTGAGTCAGATCGTCGGAGAAGAGAAAGCGGCCAGTATAGTCAGCGAGGCTCTGGTGATTGTAAGCTCAGGAACTAACGATTTCAACCTAAATCTCTACGACACTCCTTCTCCTCGCCAAAAGCTCGGCGTTGATGGATATCAAAGTTTCATTCTCTCGAGTGTACACAACTTCGTTCAAGTAAATAACAATTTCTATCATATTTTTGAACTCTTTTGCTTATGTGTAAGAATTTTGATTCAATAATATTTGTTTTTTTTCTTTTGTTATGTTGGATGTATGATATAGGAACTATATGATATTGGGTGCCGAAGAATAATGGTGTTGGGACTACCGCCGGTAGGGTGTTTACCGATTCAGATGACGATGGCTATGCAAAAACAGAACGAGAGAAAATGCATTGACAAACAAAACTCGGATTCACAGGAGTTTAACCAGAAGCTTAACAAGTCCCTAACAGATATTCAATCCAATCTCACCGGCAGTGTCATCTTTTACGGCGATATCTACGGAACATTGTTTGACATGGCTACTAATCCCCAAAGATACGGTAACGCTACGTTTCCCTTTCATCCCCATGCACATTACGTTTCGCACTAAATCTACAAATTTGTATTTTGACAGCCTTTCTAAATTATATTATTGTTATATAAATATGAGGTTGTTATATGGGATTAATAGATTACGAAAAAAGTTAGATAAATGCAAAACAAGAAAAAAAACAATCAAACTCAAACCATAGTCCATTGTTTCATCCAATGTCACGCATGCCCCACTTAATATTTTACAGGTTTTGAAAATATAATTGTTTACCAAAGGAAAAAAAATAATGAAAGTCGAATAGAAGAAAATGGAATTAATATTGCGTATTGTTACAAAGTAGTAAAGTGACTGATGATATAAAGGGACAGGAATAAAGGAAACGACGAGAGGATGCTGCGGGACAGGAGAGATGGAGTTATCATACTTGTGCAATGCTTTAACTCGGACTTGTCGTGACCCTAACCAGTTCCTCTTCTGGGACGACATTCATCCTTCCCAAGCTGCTTACATAGTCGTCAGCCTCAGTCTTGTTGAACAAATTCTCCACGTACTCTCTTGATTTTCATTGTTTTTTTTGCCTTTCATATGTTAATTTGTGGAGTAATTAAGGAGGTTAATCAATCTATATATATTCCCTTCTTACATGTGCTATTTTATACTACGTAGTGTGTACCAATACTTGCAACTCTATCGGTAAAGCACAATGCATGTGAGTAGCTTCGTTTGGAGTTTTTTTACATGAAAAGAGCAAATCAAACACTTACACAAAAAAGACCTACGTATAATCGAATTTGCTGACGCCCAATCCATTATTTACCCAAGGGAGAAAAAAAAAAAAACAGAATGATTCACAATTTGACAGATTTGTCAACTAATAATCATTTCCTTTTCATATTTAATTTAATCAACTTGAGGTTTCCTTGAACAACCCTTTAATTCTCACCTCCAAATCTTCGACAGTATAAGCAATAAAAGGCTCTCCACGCCTCCCATTGATCTCCGGCGACTCCTTCAATCTTCTGATGAAATTCTCGTACGCCGGTGACACAATTCCGTTAACGGAGCTTCTTAACTCCTCCCTCAATTGCAAATCAGTAACAACCCATTGAGATTGCACCTTACACACCTCATCAAACTGGGATTTGAACAATCTAAGGTTCTCTACTAACTTGGGATATGGACCCTCGGTCCTTAGCAATCCCACCACCTGGTTCCACGAGCTCCTTCGGTAACTAGAATGGTACTGCTTCAGTTTCGCCGCGTGCTTCACAATCCAATCTTCTCCCAGGACAGAACCGAGCTCGTTATCCGTCACCTTATCAAGAATATACTTGCCATTGTTCATCATGAACAAGAAGCACAAAGACGGGTCACGGTAAGTTCTTTTCTTGCCTTCCAAGTTACTCTCCAACAGCTCCAAAACCCAGGTGAGTTGCACTGACAAAGGACTCGTATCTGGTCCTGCTTCGTCCCCAGTCTGGTCAAGGATCTGCTCCAACGACTGCCGCGATTTACAGGCCGCACGCAGATAGTTCATCACGTACCGTGTGATGGGGTGAATCCCACCGCCAGGAAACGCGGTTTTGGGAGGGTCACGACGGATCAAATTCTCAAGCTCCATAAAGATCCCTCTAATCGCTTCCCCTAACCGTTTATGAATAGCGACCGCCTCATGCCTTAGCGGCAAACAGTATCTATCAGAGAATAGCGTTTCCATCTTTGGAATTAGGTCTTGCATCGCTTCGTATAAGTCCATAACCTTAAACAAACGTTCAGGCAAACGGCTCCCTAAAGCAATCGCGTCTGCGAAATTCAGAAGCTGTGTGGTCGTCCCGCGGCAAACTTCCATGAAAGAGAGATCGGTTACAGAGGAAACAGGGAGATCAGAGAAAACGCGATCGCAGAGAAGACGCTCGCTAGGGAAGAAAACGCGGAAGACCAGAGTGACAGCTTTGATCCAACGGTCGATTTCGTCTTCAAGATCTTGCCATGGAGTCTCTTGCACTTCCTCCATACTCAATCCTCTGAGATGCAACCTCGACAAACTCTCCTCTAGAAACTCTCTCCGTCGGCTGCTGTACACTCTTGAACACTCTTTTCCAAATCCACCAGCGACCATCCGCACAGCGATCGCGTTTAGATCGCCAATAACGCTCGATTCTAACGCCTCGATCACGATTTTGTAATCTGTGACTGGACGGGCTATAATTACCTAGAGTATTTCAGATTAAATCAAACTGTAGCCCGAATTGTGTATTCTAATTCCAAATTATATGCAAATTGAATTGAATTTCAAATTACTTAATTACCCCGTAGTTTGTGTCGTTGTCTTCTTCGCCGGAGAAGTCATCGTCCGAGTCAAACGTGTCAGGGGCTCGGTCCATTACATATCCAAACTCTTCCTGAAGCCTAAACATCACTTGTTGAATCAAATCATCGGCACGGGATTGACAGACGGCGACGGATTGATCTCCGGCCATGGATCTCAAGTCTCCGGCCATCGCAATTAACTCATCAACAGAGTCGAGGAAGGTTCGCGAGTCAACGGGATCGGACCAGATGGGACGATCTTCAACGATGTAGCCAGAGATCTGTCTCTCCAAGGAGTTAAGTGATCGGTCAAAGTTAAGGTTTGCGCCGCCGCCACGGGATGGGGTGGGTCGAGGGTCGCCGCCGCGGTTTCCGGAAGCGCCATAGCCAGAGAGAATCTGTAAGATATCTCCGGCGGCACTTGGATCCTTGCCGAGGGCTCTAGCGATGTCTCTGGCGGCGGCGTAAAGATTCTCGTCACCAGCCTCAGCCATATATGGTTTTTATGGGAATTAATAAAAATTTGAGGAAATTATGGAATTGGGTGAATAAAGACGAGAGACTCCCTCCATAGACGAAGACTATAACTATAATATGGACAAGTCTTCGCAAGGAGAAAAAATAAGATTTTTAGACGCGGGAACCATGTCTGACTTAGTTGTGTTTTCTGTTTGTATTTTTATGTAATCTGTAGTTTCATATTGCCACGACGACGACTACGACTTTTCTCTTCGTTTCTATTTTTGTTTTCTTTTTCTGGTTCTGTCTGGTTTGGTGTTTCCAGAACGTTAACGCTTCTTACCGACCGCGTTCTGCGTTCTGCGTTGGTTTGATACGCCCAGATAAATGGTCTAAATTAGAATCGTGGAAATTAGTTATGGGCCAAAGACTTCGTCACCTTATAAACTTTCAGCGTTGGGCCCAACGACATATCTTTAAAACTTTCGGATCGAAAAGTTTGGTAAATAATAGTTGTAAAGGAATGTAAAACATAACATTATATGTACTAAAAAATTATAAATATGTCTAAGAATAGACAAATTTAAAATTCAAAACATAATAAAATGTTAATCGGAAATAATAGTTTACCTGTTTGACAGAAAAAAGAAAGAAAAAGATTTTCATATTTTTAGGTTGATTATAGACTGACTATCAATTAAAACAAAATATTGCATCGATATTTCATAACTGAAATCCTTAAGTAATCAATGATTAGAGAATCCTAGTACCTAATTAGTCAAGTGGTTGCACCAAATCAACGTTGTTGCTCCTCCGTGCTGACTTTACTAGTTCCACATTCTGTTTTCAAATTTATGTTTGACGTCCACTAACTAACTAACTCACACAAAGCTCAGTTGCTTTCCCCCTTAGTCCCTGTGTGTGTATATATATATATCTTCATCCCTTTCGTCTGGACTCAAAAACCAGATAGCTTCAACACTACGATATGAAGTCTCAGTATCCAACAAATCTCGGGCGAATCTACGCCTTATCTATCATTTTCCTTCTTGTTTGTTGCACTTTTCTTGCTTCCCTCGCTTCCGCTGAACTTCACGTCCGTGAATTCGTGGTAAGTTCAGCTTCCTTCACTTGACTAGTATTTCTTTTAGATGAATTAATCACATTCACGTCCATGGTTTGAATCAACGTGACCTAGATCGAGGCAAAACCAGTGAAGAGGCTGTGCAGAACTCACCAGACCATCACCGTGAACGGTCAGTTCCCCGGTCCAACACTCGAGGTGAGAAATGGTGATTCGCTAGCCATCACGGTCATCAACAAGGCTCGCTACAACATCAGTCTCCACTGGTAAAAATAAACAAATGATTCAATTTTTTGGTTGATAACTTTTCATCCAAGAAACAAACATGTTGATGTATGCTCTGTTTTTGGGGACAGGCATGGACTACGACAGCTGCGGAACCCGTGGGCTGATGGACCAGAGTACATAACTCAATGTCCGATCCAGCCGGGACAAAGCTACACATACAGAATCAAGATCGAAGACCAAGAAGGTACACTTTGGTGGCACGCTCATAGCCATTGGCTTCGAGCCACAGTCTACGGAGCTCTCATCATTTACCCTCGTCTCGGTTCTCCTTACCCTTTCTCTATGCCTAAACGTGATATCCCTATTATTCTCGGTAATTTCATCAAAACTTTACACTTTATTTATACACAAACAAGTTTAAATTTATGAATAAGTATATTAATCTGTATTTCAAGAGAACAGGGGAATGGTGGGATAGAAACCCTATGGATGTTCTGAGGTTAGCCCAATTCACAGGAGCAGCACCAAACGTCTCAGACGCTTACACCATCAATGGCCAACCCGGTGATCTCTACCGCTGCTCTAAGCCAGAGACCCTCAGGTTTCCTATTGTCCCTGGCGAGACGGTTCAGCTTCGTCTCATCAACGCTGCCCTGAACCAAGAACTCTTCTTCACAGTTGCCAACCACCCGCTCACCGTGGTCGAGGTAGATTCTGCTTACACAAAGCCTTTCACCACAAACGTTGTCATGCTCGGTCCAGGTCAGACCACAAACGTCCTTATAACCGCTAATCAACGCCCTGGCCGCTATTACATCGCTGCACGGGCCTACAATAGCGCAAACGCTGCTTTTGACAACACCACCACAACTGCTATCATAGAATACGTTAACGCACCTAGTGGACAAGGCCAGATCACACCCGTTTTCCCGGTTTTGCCAGGGTTCAATGACACCGCCACTGCAACCGCTTTTGTCAACCGTTTGCGGTACTGGACGAGAGCTCCAGTGCCACTCGAGATCGACGAAAATCTATTTTTCGCAGTTGGGTTAGGACTAATAAACTGCGCCAACCCGAACAGTCCTCGGTGCCAGGGACCAAACGGAACGCGGTTTGCTGCAAGCATGAACAACGTCTCATTCGTCCTTCCTCGGACTAACTCTGTGATGCAAGCCTATTACCAAGGAATCCCCGGGATTATAACATCAGATTTCCCGCCGGTTCCTCCTGTTCAATTTGATTACACAGGAAACGTAAGTCGTGGACTTTGGCAACCCGTAAAGGCCACAAAGGCCTACAAGCTTAAGTACAAGGCCAATGTGCAGATTGTGCTGCAGGACACAAGCATTGTCACCCCTGAGAACCATCCTATGCATCTACACGGGTACCAATTCTATGTTGTAGGGTCAGGTTTTGGGAATTTTGACCCGAAGAGAGATCCGGCTAGCTTCAATCTGTTTGACCCACCGGAGAGGAATACCATCGGAACCCCTCCAGGTGGATGGGTGGCCATCCGATTCGTTGCTGATAATCCAGGTGAATTGATCATTGCTCTAATCTTCTTGATTAGACGCTCTATATAAATTAGTCCAATTGTTTTTTTTCCTGACAGTTGTTTGTAATTTAAATGTTGTAGGAGCATGGTTTATGCATTGTCACATTGACTCACATCTAGGATGGGGGCTGGCGATGGTTTTCCTAGTTGAGAATGGAATAGGTCAGCTCCAGTCGGTGCAGCCTCCGCCATTGGATCTCCCAAGATGCTAAATATGGTCGTTGGATTTCTCATTTGATCAAACGTATCTCATGTTTGTCTCGTTTTTAGGTTATGTGGGGTTTTCGTAACCACAAAGCTTCTTTCTGCGTGTGTATATACTGAGAGGAGTCATATGTTAATATCATTTGGAACTAAAATGTATTTGCGTCCTCTCCTAATGAACGTACTAGAGTGTTTTTTTAGTTTCCCATGAACTCTCCATTACACGTTCATATCTCAAACCAAAACAATTTACAGTATTAGCATTTATCGCTACCATAAAATTTGAAATATATTTATTATGGCTACCAATATATTAAATACTTCTAGATGCTCCAATATTAATATTTCATCTTACAATTTTTTTTTTTTTTGCAGAGGTTCTTATTATTTTTGGTTAAAATTAACTAAAATTATTCTTGGGACCTTTTCTTATAAAAACAAGACCGTCCTTTTTCCTATTTTTTTCGCTTTTGTGGTTTCCCATTTATTTATTTATTTTATTTAAAGGAAAAAAATCTCAGCCAGTAGATATGATAAAAAGGATTTGATTACTGAGCATGCATTTGGAGACAAGTCACAAAATTGAGACCAGAGGAACACAAATGTTAAGTGATTTCATCAAAGGTCTGGTGGATCGTTGCTTCTCCACCTCCAATGGCTTCCCTTTACCTCAATTCCTTACTCCCGCTTCTTTCTTCTCATCCCCAGAAACTTATAGAACCTTCTTCTTGTTCTTCCTCGTCTTTGTTGAGCACTTCCAATCGTAACGAAGTTGCTCCTCTCAAGCCGATTGTCATCAATGGAGATCCACCCACTTTCGTCTCTGCTCCTGCTCGCCGTATCATTGCAGGTTCGCTACCAAATTATTCTGAAAAGTTTACATCTTTTTTGTTTAAAACGACAACAAAACTAAGTTGTGGCTATGCTCTCACAGTTGGGGACCTTCACGGCGATCTGAGTAAAGCCAGAGACGCACTTCAGTTGGGCGGCGTCTTGAGCTCCGATGGACGAGACCAGTGGATCGGCCAAGACACTGTATGTCTTCACTTTTCTGACCCTAGTGGAACAGCAGAGTTTCAGTTTCTGTTACATTAGTTGAAAGTTTGGTTTTTAGTTGTCAAGATAAGAATATGCTAAGAATTAAGATGATATACTATGATCGATTTTGATTTCCCGTTAGCAGTTTATAATGAGATATCTCTTATACTGCCTCCTATTTTATGAGTTCCTCCAAAATTACAGGTGCTAGTTCAGGTAGGAGATATATTGGATCGTGGTGATGATGAAATTGCAATACTTTCTTTATTAAGGTCACTTGATGTTCAGGCCAAGGCTAATGGTGGAGCTGTTTTCCAGGTTTTGAATGCTATCTTACTTGAATTTGATTAGTATGTGTTACCAAAAACACACAGCAACTTGTGCACTTTGCACATTTTAATTTACTGAGGAGCAATTCATTTCTCCAATTTTAAAGGTTAATGGGAACCATGAGACGATGAATGTTGAAGGGGATTTCAGATACGTGGATGCGAGAGCATTTGATGAGTGTACAGATTTTCTTGACTACTTGGAGGACTATGCACAAGACTGGGACAAAGCGTTTACTAATTGGATTTTTGAGTCAAGACAGTGGAAAGAAGATAGGAGAAGTTCTCAAACCTATTGGGATCAGTGGAATGTAGTAAAGGTATTACATGGCATCATTTTGCTGTGTCCTTACTGAGTTTTCTACATTTTCTCTACTTGTCTGTTAACCAAAAGCCTTGGGAAACTATTAGGACAGAGGCAAAAGGGAGTGATTGCAAGGTCGGTCCTTTTCAGACCAGGGGGTCGATTAGCATGTGAACTGGCGCGTCACGGAGTTGTTTTGCGCATTAATAACTGGGTCTTCTGCCACGGTGGTCTCCTTCCTCACCATGGTAAGAATAAGCAGTCTATCTCAATCGTCTCAGTGCTGAGGGATGTGTTCTTTTAAATTTCATCATGCTTATGATGTTCTTGCGCAGTTGCATATGGCGTAGAGAGGATAAATAGAGAAGTCTCTACGTGGATGAGAAGTGCTACTAACTATGAAGACAGTCCTCAGATGCCTTTCATAGCGACTCGTGGATATGACAGTGTGGTCTGGAGCCGACTCTATTCAAGAGAGACTTCTGAGCTGGCAGACTATCAAATTGAGCAGGCAAGTTGAATTGAATAACCAAAAATCTCAAAACTGATAACGCAACAGGTATCATCATCAGCTTGGACTACTGTGATTCCTGATTGTTTTTTTATCAGGTAAGTAAAATCCTCCGGGACACTCTTGACGCTGTTGGTGCCAAGGCAATGGTGGTCGGGCATACTCCCCAGTTATCGGGTGTTAACTGGTACATTTATTGAACTCCATTCCAAAAACTTGTAAGAAATCTTAATCACAAGATCCATACAGTTCTATAATGGAATACGGTTATCTCTTGTTAGTGAATATGGTTGCGGCATATGGAGAGTTGATGTAGGAATGTCCAGTGGTGTTCTTGACTCTAGACCAGAGGTTCTTAACAATCTCAGTGGTTCTTGACTCGTCGCCTTTATGTCTCTGTTACACGTGGAGATGATGACTGACTCTGTTGTTGTTTCTTCAGGTTCTAGAGATAATAGGGGACAAAGCTAGAGTCATACGGAGCAACAGGGACACACTTCATGAACTTCAAATTGCAGATTACATTTAAAAAGCTTTGAAAGACGAGAACCAGACCCCCATGTTCAAGATTCAAACTTTATAAGCCATATATTTCATGATGAACATAAAAACAGGGCAGCAGAAGCTAAAGAAAAGACCTAGCATATGCAGTTGGATGAGGCCAGACTTTTGAACTCTATGTATGTACGTATGTATATATATATATATCTGTATGGATGAGTCATCATAAACATACTATAATCATCAAGTAAAAGGGTTTGTATAGCAAAAAAATACACTGGTTAGTATCACTTTTAGAAATACTCTTGTTACCAAACCATATGTGGGATTCTGTGATGACAAGTAGCTAAAAATTAATCAAATGTCTTTACCGATTCTGCTGTACCAACACTCGAGAAAACGAACATTGAGAAAGATCTTGAACGGAGAACAAAGTATTGAGTTTGATATAAATCAGGAGAGTTGAGTTATTGAGAAGTGGATCTCAATCTTCGAAGCTGATCAATCCAACGATCCTCATTAACATCGGAAGCCCAATCAGGAGCCATTCCAGGGAACGAGATTGCGCGCATTGCCTCCATAACCCTAACGGTATTCTCCTCCATTAACGGTGATCTTCTACGCCGTTCGTCCTCTTCAAACGCTCTACGGATCTCCGATTCCGTCTCCATCTCCGCCTCTTCTTCGCTCTCTGCGTCTCCGTTTATGCTAATAGAAGAGATCCCTTCCTCTGTTTCCGGAATCATACAATGGCCGTTGGAGATGCCGTGGCTGAAGCCATCTCCGCCGATCGGATTATAACTGTCTTCCACATCGCTCCCGTCGTCATTGGCGGTGTCTAGATCGACGGCTGAGATCGGCTCGTAATAGTCTTGTGGATCGTCGACGGAGTTAGAGTCAGAATCGCTCCCGGCGTTGTTGTTCTCTGCAAATAACGCATCCAGCTAACTAATTAAGCAAAGCAGACCCCAATTCCAAAAATCCAGAGATAATTTTGACAACAGAGAGAGAGTAAAACGAATCTGATATCCGAATCCTCAAACGAAGTAAACAGAATAAGGAGCAGAGAGAAGAACCTTCCATAGGATCACTTGAAGCGAGGTAGAGAGTAGCTTCTTTTGTCGGAGGTGAAAAAGAGAGAAGCCACGACTGAGTTGAGTTGACTCGGATCTAAAAAAAAGTACAGTGCTCATCAAATTCATAAATACAAAAATGGTCCTTAAAAGCCCATATTGTATATAGAAGGCCTACCCTTTGCGGCCCAAATATGAATCTTGTTTTTTTTGGTAATCTTATTATATAGACCTTGGTTTTCAAAGTCAGCTATTAACAAGATCGTGACACGTGTTAATTATAATTGATAAGATATTGACGCATGTCGTAACTAATTTTGTTAATATTTGGATAATATAGAAATATTATTAACCCTATCGAAAAAGAAAATATATAAAATAAATATTATTAATAAAATATACAAATAACCTAATTTCAGTTATGTCAATTTGGTTTATCAATAAGATAGGGATTTAAATTTTATAATTAACAAGAATATATGACGTTTTTTGTTTACAGAAGAGAATTAAGGTTTAAACTTTAATTTTACGATTAAATCAGGTTATTTGTTGGTTTGGGTATATAAATGATAAATAAGAATTATGGTTTATCTTTATAAATTAAAATTATGGTTGAAGTTTAACAATTAAACGAGATTATATGTCGAAACTTGGTTATTAAATTTACTAACTCACGTGATCATGATAAGTGTCAAGTAAAATCATAAGATGTTGCAATATGGTATATCTACTTTTTAATATTAATATACAAATAGATTTTTTAAACAACATTAAAAATTTAAAATAATTATAAAAAATTAAAGAGAATTTTTGAGAAATACCCCTTTTGGTGTATCACTTTTCAAAAATACCTCATTTATCTATCCATTTTCAAAAATATCCATGTTTAAATATGAAAAATTTTAAAGTTTTATATGGTTTATAAGGCACTTCTATATAATAACTATTACTTGGAAATTTGATACAAATATTTTATAATGTTTTAAAAGGTTTTAAATCGTTTTTACAAGTTTAATAAGGTTTTTAAGTGGTTTTTAAAGGGTTTATAAGGTTTTTAAAAGGTATTTATAAGTTATTTTACGCTATTTATGAAAGATATATAAAAATTTAAACATATATAAAGGTAATTTGTGTGTATATTTATAAGTTTACACACATATTTGGATAAATTTCAATATTTATAGTGTTTTTTTTTATAAAGTTTGAAATAGGGGTATTTTTAAAAAATGGTATGGAAAAAGGGTATTTTTGATAAATTAAAAAGTAAAAAAATTGATATTTATATTAAAAAAATGTGTAAGCTTATATATTTAGACACAAATTATCTTTCTATTTGTGTAAATTTTAAATACCATATAAATACCTTTTAAAAAGGGAGATTTGCACAACTAACCTTTATTATGATAACCTTTTTTACAAATACCCTCTCTAGGTGTTCATTTTCAAAAATGCCCTCTTCAATGTACAAAATGACTAAATTACCCTCCTTTATTATAACCCATGATGATAAAAGGAATATTCTTTCCAACAAAAAGAATATTCCTTCCGAAAATTTTCCCGCCAAAAATTTTCGGCAAAAATTTTCCCGCCAAAAAATTTTCCCGCCAAAAAAATTTTCCCGCCAAAAAAATTTTCGACAAAAATTTTCCCGCCAAAAATTTTGAGCTAAAATTTTTACGCAATTTCTTAAAAAAACCTTGTGACTAATAAATCTTGGTAGTGGTCAGGTTTGGACCTTGGAGGACACAAAATTATCTGAGAAATATTTTTGAATTATACGGAATTCGAATGTGGGTGAAAAAAAAAAGTTGGAAAAAAGTTTTAAAAAAGAGAGCTCAGGAGGGTGGCGAGTACATCTGAGAAATCAGAAGAATGCGAAGGACCCAACCAACGCTTATGCCAATTTCATCACAGCTCTGTTGCACCAGCCGGGAATCGAACCCGGGTCTGTACCGTGGCAGGGTACTATTCTACCACTAGACCACTGGTGCTTTTTGATTCTTTACCAACATTTATGCTACTAATAGACCGCATCTCTACCTCTGCGTTTATTTGCTAATAGACCGCATCTCTCGTCCACCATATGTAAGTTGTTAATAGAAAAACAATCTGTTGCTCAACTTACGAAGATTGTGAAAACGAGGCAGCTAGATAGAGCGGACAGATATGCCCAGGAAGTAAAGATATGTGTGTATCGTTTAAAGTCTGGCATGTGTATGTTTTGTTAAGTGATTATTGTAAGGTTTGGAAGGAACATAGTTTTGTACAACTTTTACCAAAATTTCTCGACGACGACAGCATCATCGACAAGTTGGACAAATATAATCTAACATAACAGTCGTAGAAAACCTGACAAAAACTAGTTTACAAACAAAAAGAAAAGCAGGATCCTTAAGTGTGAAAATCTCCTAACCCTTTGTCATTTTTTTCAGGTAGTGTTTGAATCGCCATTCAAGTCTTGAAAGAAAGATTTGACCCCTTCATAAGTTGACCAACAGATTGCTGCAGCAGGAGCATGGAAGAGCATTCTCGGTAGCCATCCCCTTAGAAGTCCTCTGTATCCGTCTTTCTTCACTATCGTTCTCAGTACATCGCTGATTGAACTACTAGTGAAGCGGTCGCATCCACACACACCCTGCATATCACCACAGATGATTGAGGCCATATTTCACACATTTTATAGCAAACAAATATTATTTGATCCTTCCTCATCTTTCACCTCATAAGATCACATTTGAAACGAAACAAATTGAAAACATATCTCCTACATTCTGTAAATGCTATTGTAATAATACAAGTCGTGCCACAGTAAGACTGAATTAATAATAGGTCAACTGGGAAATGTCATTGCCTGAATCCATGAAAACACAATAGACATGCCAACCAGAAAAGCTACAGTTAGCAACACTGAAACCAAATAACTACTCTTCTTTCAACATAACACGCAACTACTCTACAGCAGCTCTATGCGATTGTCAGACCTCAAGAAACTTAACCTACCCACTACTATAAAGTTATGTTGAGCTCTAGCACATGATTACCATCTGTCTGCCAGTCTGATAGGTCTAGCACAAAATACATCATCTAACGACTCAAGGTGAAACATGACCGTCTAAGAAGATTTATCCTACACACAAGTATGAGTTTGAAGACTAACAGCAATATCTAAAGAAGCAATCTCAGCACTGCACACATCAAGAAGCATAACACATCTATCGTTTACCAGTAACATAACCGTGTACCTAATCCACATAGCCTATTATTTTAATCCAAAGCTGAAGAAATAAGAGACAGAGCAAACAATCCTAGAGAGAAGGAATCATTCACCTGACATTGCAACTGCGTCTTGACAACATCAAGCGGCGTAGTGACAGCAGCTGCCAATCCTCCAGCAGCAGCTCCAGCGGTGGCATGAACCAACCAACCTTCCTCATCATTAACTCTTTCCGGAGAAAACTCCATCAATCCCTTCTTGGCAGCCTCGTAAGTCGCAAAGTGAACAGCAGTAAAAGGCGCGTTCATCAAAACCGTCGTCCTATAAGAAGCATAGAACGCACCAATCCCTTCCTCACGCATAACTCTCTTGACACAATCCCAAACTCCTTTATAAGTCCCTTCACCCATTTGCAACCTCTGCTTCACCATATCCATGGGAGTAAAAACAGCATCGCTTGATATAGTTGCGAAAACGCCGGAGATCGCATGAGCGGCGGAATTGTTCTGATTACCGGCGGATAAGAACTTCTTCGATACCTCGTAGAATGAGAAGTAAACGGCGTGGGCAGGTCCAGCGCCGAGACCCATAGCCCAAATCCCGCGATATAGAGCTGAAGGTCCTTCCTTTTGGATTATCGAACGGAAGGCTTGTCGGATTCCGACGGGTTTTAACGGACATGGTCGGAGAGCTTGCATATGGGTCTTCACGGTATCGACGGGAAACATCGCCATGTGTTCAACGGAACCAGCAATCGAACCGGCAATCATGAATTGCCAGAATTTAAGACCGTCATGAGCGGTTTCCTGTTTAACATCCGGTGACTGAGAGACCGTTCGGAGATCTGGTTCCTGGAATTTGGGAGCGGTGGTAGCCTCCGTAGCCATGTAAGGATTTGGGCGTAGATCAGGAGACACTTGGCACTCGGCGGCGGAGATAAAATCTTTGGGTGAAAAGTAGGGTTTTTGATGAATGTTTGAAGCAAAATGAGACTAAACCGGAGTTGTGAATCACCGACGAAGGAAGACGGCGGTGAAACAGGCGTGATGGGGAGATTAGTGTGGTGGTGGACTACATTATCTCATTTCATATAGTTTTTGTTTTTGTTTTTATATTTGGGTTACCAACCTCCCTTGATGTCGTCAAAGGGTTTGAACTTTCTTCCACAATTTTTATTTCAGGTGGAAAGTTCGAACCGGAACTTTGTTACTCTAAGAAATTCGAGTCTTTGATTGGTTGACGTGTTCATTTTTTCATTCTTTTTCTCTTTTGTTTTCTCCTGCTTTTGAATTGTAAAGCTGATGAGAGAAAAGATAGTGATTTTGGACAGAGAAGCTACCAAATCGGTAAAACGATAGCTCAAACGGAACAAGCACAAAACAATACATCGCTTACGTCTGTCTCGCCACTAGGAAGTTTTACCTTTATATGTTGACACCACCAAGAAAAGTTATGGGCAATACTTACACATGATTATCTGATTAAGAGTTCTTGGATTAGTATCTTTACTGATCAACATTAGAAACAGTTTGGAGCTCTTATTTTGCTACATATATACGAGGCATGGCATATTGCCAAATTCGGGGATATATTTTTTGCCATTAGCCCGCTCGTCGGGAAAGTTGTTCCTGAAATGTGCTCTCAAAGATCTTGTCAGCATTTCCAACCTCAAAGCCATCGCGTCGATGTGACTCTCGTATCTGCGATTTTGTAGGTTTTAGAAGTATCAATTCAAAATGTTGGTATATCATCTTAATATTGTACTGGTAACTGAGAGGAGTTTTCTATCCTCTATGCAATAAGAACCAAAAGAACGCATCCGTTCACAGTTAGCGGAATCAATCAGAGTCGTCACATACCTCGCTTTCAGGTACATTTTGGTATTTGGGAAGCACAAGGCGTTCGGCAAACTCAATGTATGAACAAGGGATGGATTTGGTGACACCATCAGAGAATTTGAAAGAAATTGAATCTGCTACAGTTGAACTTTGCAGCAAACCACCATCAGGGCTAACTGAAAAAAGTAAGAAGATATGTATTGTAAACCAAATTAGCTTAAAATCTAATCTATCTTTTAATCGGGAAGTTAAGATTCGTTGTGAAACCTTTAAGGACTCCTCCTTCAGAGTTCAATTTGAAACTTTTTTCTTCTAAGAACTGATTGAGCTTTTTAATTTTGTTTAGAGTAGACTTAAGCCGATGGACAGAAATGGTTACATGGTTAAGTGCATAGCCATTGACAAGGGTCCATGCTGCATATTCACTTTCCCTGTAGTTCAAGTTAGCACAATACACCTTCAGTTAGGAGTCACTCACTTTCTACCTTGATCTATCAAAACCAGGATAATTAAGGCCATGTACCTAGCCAATTGCTCAAACTCAGAAGACAGAGGCTTTTCCCAAGTTAAGGTACCCAAAGCACTAGAAAGTGCAGCATACTTTTTCCCATTGGGCGATGCTTGAGTGTATTTTTTGATCACATCCTAGAAACAAGAGAAGTCATCTTCAAAACTCATAACACAAACAACCATCTAGGGTCAAACCACTGACAGTATTATTATTACCTGAGTCTGTGAACTCATCTGGTCCACAAGGAGCTCTGAGATAAAAACTCTTGGTAAAGGACCGTTAACGCCGCTTCCACCAGGAATAGCAGAAACATCAGGAGGTGAAAACCACAAAGCTCTAAGCTTTTTGGCCGGAAATTTTAGCTCATCCATCGGAGTATACCCATAGTCAAGGAAAAAACTTGCAAGCGAGTCAATCCCATACCCACGAATCTAAACACATTTCAACAGACAAGAGTCCAAAAATGAGCAACTTAACTTCGTTAAAAAAAGTTTAAACTTTGAGACTGTACTTAGTGAAGTGTACGATCCCAGTTCTTGGAAGCAGCCAAAATAAAGAGGGGATTAAGGAAATTATACCCCAAACGTTCTAAAGGCGAGATGATCATAGCAAAGTTGGTGGCCATCAACGGATCTGACAAGTTCCAAGACGGATTTAGGGGTCGGGTTCCGATTCAGGTAAACCGTTTCCATCTGCCCTAAGACACTCCTGAAGAAAGATTCAGCAACCTGATCAAGTGTAAATACCAAAGTTATCAATTCAAGTAGGCAAGTTATCAAAATAACAGAAATCGTCAAAAAAAAACAAAGTTTTGAAATCATTCATGACCTAAGCAAAAGAACGAACCTTTGAAGACGATCCGTGAGTATCATTGTTTGATGGCATCGAGGAGTCTCTTCCAGAAGCAGCGAGAACAGAGAGATCGCGTTTTCCGGCGGAGGGAAGCCGAATGAGAGATCCAGCAGAGAAGGGAACAGAGAGTGTCGATCGTAACGAAGAAGGAAGAGAGCAGTGGAGAGAAGCTTTAATGGCGGAGGAATGGAGTGAAATCATGGTAAAGAGGTGGAGATGGGTGGAAGGTTTTTGTCGCCGGGAAGGGTTGGATTAGCGAGAAAGCACGAATCCATATTAATGGAGCTTTCGTGATCAACTTCTACTTCTCTCGTAGAGAGAGTCGTGTCGTATCACTCTATCATCTGATTAGACGTGGCGATATTATCACTGTGATGATTATTTATTTTTTTGGTTGACATTACTATACTTTTATTTAAGTTATAATTTGTAAGTTTATTGATTTTCAGAATTAGAAAGAACCTACGAAGTGTGTACGAGGTTCTTTACTTGGTAACCGAGCAAAGGAGTTGAAACCTCCGATGACCTTGAAATTGGATTATCGATCAAACCCATACTTTGGGATGGACAATATCAGATGCCTAATGGGCTTTATTTTATCTATAAACGGTTTCCTACTGGGCTTCTTATTATGATCTTGAATATTAAAAAGGGGCCGGAGAAAAATCGACTTTAGCGGTAATAATAAGAGTTGAAACGGTATACTTTGGAGGCAGTAAAACTGTAAAAGCATTAAAAAAAGGTAAAAGATTGTCCAACAGTCCACTACTTATCACACCAATTCAACTCATCTTTTTGGGTTAGGATTATAATAATAGTCATTAGTAGGCATTTTATGCTAATAATATAGGAATTTTACGGTAGTATATAAGATGTTAATACAAATCAGAAGAAACGTGGTAGTTGATAACTTGATATATGTACTTGGTCCCGACAGAGGGTGAGTAGACACATGTGATATGAACCCTTATTTAGCCTTACAACCCCACCCAATTCGGCAAACACTTGCCATAAACGTCCTCTTCATGTAATCTTAAAGATATTTTTTCATCTCTTTTTTTCTTCTTTTTTTTTGGTCATTGAGATATTTTTCATTTCAGTATGACAAAAAAAAAAAAAAAGTTGTAAAAGTCGATAATGATATCTCCAAACTACAAAAATAATGTAATAACAGAAATAAAGACACAGCCAATGTTGGAGATATTTTTCTTCCAGATATTTTTTTCCCTTTTTAAGTCTCCCTTTTCACGAACCGTCCCTACAAATAATTCAAAAGATTTCCAAGAAATTTCGTAAAAGTTAGGCTTATTCTCTCGCACAAGTATTAAGGTAGAGCATATGAAATGAAACTAAATAAATATAGTTAAAAAGAGTTTTTAAGGTTAGAGTGAACGATGAAGAAGAAGAGAGAGACCTTAAAACGAGGTCGTTTATCAGCGTTGAGTTTTCGGACTTGATACCTTATCTTCTTAGAGAAGAGTCTACTCTGCCTTTTCTCTTTGTACCTTAACACACTTGCTTCTCTTCTCATGTTTCTCTCTTCCTCTATCACTGGAACTTCTCCCCTCTGCATACACACGTTAAATCATTAGTACTGATGTGAATCACTAGTTGTAACTAACTTGCACAACAAGTAAAAGAGTCACACAAAACTAACATAAAAGGAATAGGCCGGAGCTGAAGTATCTGTCCACAGAGGTTTTTGATGATCAGACCAAGCATCGATAATTTCTTGATGGTTCAGATTCAGCTTCAGACCCAACTCTTTGTCTTCGTAATCTGTAGGCTTAGTTTCCCAAAACCCCAGACTTGAGCCTTCTTGATCAGTGCTCAAGCTTTTGTCTTCTTCCCCTGTATCTTCATCTTCGTCTGCTCCCCAGAAATCCCATTTGAGCTCGTGGGAGCAGCTTAAATTGTCAATAGCGATGTCGAATATGCTGTCAAAATCATCTATAGAATGGTCTTGAGATCGAGAGAGAGCATTAATAGACTCGAAGGTTGAAGAAGGTTCTAATTCTTCTTCTTCTTCTTTCTTCGGCAACCTTTGTGTATCCATAAAAAAACTCTTATCTTTTTCTCTCTTTTTTTTTTCTCTTCACTCTAAGGTTTTTTTTTTTCTTTGTAAATCCGTCACCATATGAAACGTTATATATAGATACAATACTTACAGAGGTAGTAGGCGTTGCTTTTAACACTTTTTTATATGTGATGGAATTGATACGACGTTGCATCTTATCCCAAAAGTGATGGAAAAATCGAAAGCTGATTGGTTTTGAGAGTCCAGCTTGGAATTAAATTGTGGGACCTTTTTTTACTGGTCCTTTGGCTCTCACGAGAGACCATTTCACCCATGTTTTTCATCTCTATATTAGTTTCCGAGTCCTAGCCTCCTAGGGGCTTTAGGTGGGAGAGAGCTATAAATATGAATTTTACGAGTATTAATAATGAAAACCACAAAAAGCTTGTTTCTACTTTATTAAGTTGGATTATTTTTTGTCTTCAGCATACAATTAGATAGATAACTCGATAACAACTTACGACTTCAGCATACAATTAGAAAAACGATTTTTGCTCACGATTGTTATACTATTTTTAAATTGCGAAAAGACAAATTCCAACAATTTATTGATTGTAATTCTCTCACTCTGTTGCATTTGGTGATGGAATTCGTTGCTTTAGTCTCGTTTTATATCTGGTTTATGGTTAAATGGGTTGCAGGAGCACTACACTCTATAGCAGCGTTGAATCATTCAGACATAATATATATATATATGAGACAACTTAATTTTCTTCAAACGTATAACCATCAAAAGCGTAACGAATGTGTCAAATCACGAACCCATCCAAAAACAAGATACGCAAATCCGAGAGTACATTAAGCAATCATATGACAAAGTTCAGATGAAATACTACCTTCCCAGCCACCAAACAAAAACAGCCATTAGTCTCGGAGGCACAGACACATACGTCACACCTTAAGCATCAGCAAACCTGCAACAAACATATACAAACTCAACATCATTGCAGTCCTTTATAATAAAATACTCATAAACTTGAAAAGAAGCTATGACGGAAAAATGTACATAGGCTAACTATTTGGGGCCATATTAATCGATGTGAAGACTTTACCCGACGGAGAGTCTATTTCTCGAGATCAATCTTCCTAGCCTAGAGTAGTGTCGTAGTAGTTCAATCTTCATGCTCTTTTCAGAATCCGATAGCGTCTTGCTGCGATGCAGTTGAAGAGAAATTTCAGGAGAGGAGGAAAAAGATAATGATGTAAACAAAGCTGCAAATTTAGATGAAGAAGATAAGCGAAGGTCAGTTCAGAATTGAAAAAAAATCACCATTGTTAGAGTTTTTATTGTTGGAATCAATTAGATATGGTTGCTAAAAAGCTTTACTTATGTATTGGAATTCTGTAACATTTTATTTAAGAAAACAAGATTTCATTTACAATATTGTCTTTTGAAAAGTGTGCTTTCAGAAGTTTAAGTTGCTCTTACAGTTTTGACCAAACTGCCAATTTTTAGGAACAACATTGAGTGCTGTCTTGATTTTGCCATTGCTGGTTTGGATTAGTATTCAAAGTATCTACGGGAACACTTGTTACTTGTGACCTGTGTGGCATATACGTGACATGAGAAATTCAATATTACCAAGTTTTTAGATATTGAATGGTTGAATATTGTTTCTAGAGCAATTACTTCCTGAGTTTTTTAGTTGACTTTTGAAAACGAAAAACTTATTTACTTGAGAGCAAAAACTAGTGTTCTTACTTTTGAAGAAATAAATTTCATTCGAACTTTTGAAAAGGTGATATGGTAACTTTTTTGAATTTTAAAAACCAAAAGCGAAAACACAACTATCTTGAAAAGAATTCATTGCAAATTTTTGTCGGTTATAGAAATTATGTTGGACGAGTTTATTTGGATTTGCTCATAAAGGCATCAATAGGTTAATCTAAGCTCTGAACAAAATAGTGATCTTCAGTAACATCTAAGTGGTAATGTTTAAAATCGAAAGCTAACCTGTAATTTTAATGAACATGAAGTAGCAAAAGGGCAGTAACGGTTGTAGCAGCAATTGCGTCAAACACAACGTGAATCTGGTACTGTATCTCGGATCATCTGAATGCTACGGAGATCTTCCAACCTTCTTTGGTTGCGCTTCTTGATTCCTTCTCTGAACAAATTGCTACCTGTGCAGTATGGATTTTTAGTGTGGTGAGTCTGCCTGGTTCGCATCCTCACTTCTTTGCTCCTCAAGTACTCTGCACCTTGTGCCTGAACTGTTTGTGAATTGAGAATTACTCAGAACAATCAGGTACTTTCTAAGTAACACACTGCTAAAGTTTCTATCCGTTCTGATGGATCACACAATAGTTGTTAGTGGACAGTTTAGAAAATCATCAACTTTCCAACCAGAAGATTTCCATGATCATCTACAACTCAAAGGAAACTCCAATACATTATACATAACTACGATCGCAGAGATACCACTGCATGGAAGGAAATGGAGGATGGGAGTAAAACTACTTTGAAGGTTGAGGGAGTTTAAGATCAACAACTCTTCAAACAAAAATATAATGACAAGAACAAAGCAATACAAAAATCAGAACTCTGTTCCAAGCCATGTACATCATGTTCAAAAGGCACCTTTTTAATGAATGTACCTGAATGTGAAGATGTTAACGAGGCAGCTGAATCCCTTAGTCTCCTTGCGTTCTCAGAAGCATCTAATATTTCAGAAAACTCCTCTGAATTTGGTTCAATACGACTATCCTTCTTAAGGCACAATAGCGCATTTTCATAGGCCTACACCATACCAATGTCGTGTCGTCATAGTAAGGATAAGTCAAAAGCAAATGAAGCGGATATACTCCACAAGCAAATTGGTAAAGCAACATTATGGTCATCCAAACATGAACGTGTTTTAAATGTCCTAGTAAGTTCACTTTCCATTGAGCATGTCAAGAATCTACAAAACTTCATCTGATGTGAATTTCTCACACTGTTACTAAAAGCAACGAGATGTTAGAGTAAGTTTACCTTTCCTGCAATAGAGGGGAATCCATTTTCCATAGATTGGACTGCAAATTTGGTCCATTCTGAATGTGAAACTCTTAACCACAAACAGCTAGGAGACTTGAGCTCCCTCAAATTTAACGCCTCATACCTTATAGCCAAACAATTCTACTCCATATATAAAACAACACACACATATACAAAGCAAAAGAGCACAGCTCAATCAGCAAATCTTCACTCATAGAAGGTAAACGAACCAGAAGCACAAACATAGATTCGAATTTACTTCAAATCGATAAGGAGAGGATACGAACCTCCAAATCACCGATGAGAGCAAAAGCACGAGCGAAGAATTCAAGTACGGAGAGCTTTGCAACGATCGATTCTCCAGAGAGCTCACCGAATATAGCAGCCGATTCAGATCTCATGAAATTTCTCAATCGGGATCTGATCTCTGAAAACGATTTCAAATTCATTGCGACCAGAGACAACTCGAGAATCCGAAGAGTTTCTTCGTCGAACCTGCAAAATCAAATCAATGAGAAGAAAACCCAGTTCTCTAGCCAACATCACAAAAGAGAAATTGGGAGTTCAGGTGATTCGGAGGAATCGAATAAAGTACCGGACCTTCTCTCTTGTATCCGGTTGAGAAAGAGATAAGTCTCATCAACGATCATCTTTCCCAGAGAGACGTTGTGGCGGGTCAAATCTTTTCCGGTGTTTCAAATTTCGATGTAACCTTTTGATTTGACTTTTATGGCGCATTGTTACTCATGGGCCATGAGTCATGGCGGCGTAGTTTTAGAATTATTAAAGGGCCGTGAGCGTGTGTGGACGTTTGGCCCATCAGTAAATTTAGGCATATTAATATAATGGAAGCGATAAGCGAGTGGCCAGGATATTCGGCCCATTAATGTAAACGATGTCGTTGTTCTCCGCGGGTGATAAGGACTCACTTATTAGGGTTTTTTTTTTTTTTTTTTTTTTTTTTTTTTTTTTTTTTTTTTTTTGGGTTTGTGAAGGCAAATAGCTAATTCCTTCCACCGGACGATTCGACAAAAAATGGTGAAAGGACGTCAAGGAGAATCTGTCAGGTTATTATCTTCTATTTTCTCTGATTCAGTACTCGCTATTGCTTCTCGTTTTAAATCTCTTTTAACCTTTTTTTCCATTAAGGCTTTAATTAAGTTCTTGCGTCACTCAATTTTGTTTTCTATGATGCAGACTCTATGTCAGAGGTACCATACTTGGGTACAAAAGGTACGCCATTGTTTACAAATTTGTTGTGTTTCTAATAATCTTGGGTAAAACATCTTAGTAGAATTTGTGACCTTGGACTAGTTTAGTTGCGTTGCGTATTGGATCTTAAGATAATGATTTTGCTTATTGTTATCACCCAAAAACAAACAGAACCACTTGTCCACTTATCTTCTTGTGGTTTGATCACGAGCTTAAATATTTGCTTTGGAATTGGGTATATAAAACAGTCAAAACACACTATAATTAAGTGTGTTATAGTTTCTCAAGTGTTGTTGTTGTTGTTGTTGTTGTTGTTTATGGTTTGTCATTAGTCAGAATTGTGTTCTTAAGATGCTCTGTGGGTTAATATGCGTAGGTCGAAGTCTAACCAGTACCCAAACACGTCCCTGATCCAAGTCGAAGGAGTTAACACGACAGAGGAAGTGGGATGGTACAAAGGTAAACGAATGGCTTACATCTACAAGGCCAAGACAAAGAAGAACGGCAGTCACTACCGATGCATCTGGGGAAAAGTCACAAGGCCGCATGGTAACAGTGGTGTGGTTCGAGCCAAATTCACCTCAAACTTGCCTCCTAAATCAATGGTAAGTCGAATGATTCCCTTAATATGTTTGTATACCTTAGCTTTTGTTGTTATTTGTTTTGGGCTCTAATACAAGTTTGGTGATTTTTTCCGCAGGGAGATAGAGTAAGAGTGTTCATGTATCCGAGCAACATCTAGATCTTTGTGTATCTCATCAACTGATGGTTTTTTGTTTGCAAAACCTTATCACTGAGACCTTCTCTTCTTTATTATTTGACTCTTTTTATATTCAAAAGTTTTGGAGCAACACAATGGTTTAAACGAAGCCTTGGCTACTAGTGAACTGTGCTTGAGCTACGGACAATTTGGAAGCAGTTTTTACATATTAAATAGACGACAGAAACGAGACACGTGGCTTTTGAAGCTACACGTGTTAGTAATTAATTATTGGTATTGGCTCCATTAGCAATGTAAGCATTGACGTGCACCACCAAACTATCGAGTTTCAAGATATTTTTACTGAGTGGTATTTAAAAAAGGCGACGAAGGCAAAGAGACATCGAAAACCTTTGATTGGCATCCATGGCGTCGATACAGAGCAAGCTTCCTGTTCTCATAGTCTGCTACGTTATTCTTCTCGGCTATGCATCATCGTCATCATTATCATCTGAAATATCTCTTCCATCTTCATCTCCGAAGGTCTCCTTGGGCTTGTACTATGAGTCTCTCTGTCCGTATTGCTCATCCTTCATAGTGAACCACCTCACGAAGCTCTTCGAAGACGATCTCATATCAATCGTCGATCTTCATCTCTCTCCGTGGGGTAATACCAAGCTCCTCCCCGATAACGTCACTACTGTTTGCCAGGTCCTCCTTACTTCTTCGTTTTCTTCGATTTAGGAATTCTATATCTCCGATTCGATTGAATTAAGCGTTAATTTTATGAAATCGGTATTTTTGATGTTGTGTGCATCTGAGATTTGATAAATTGGTATTTTTGATGTTGTGTGCATCTTAGATTTGATAAATTGGTATTATATATTTCTGCAGCACGGGGCATTTGAATGCTTCTTGGATACAGTAGAAGCTTGTGCGATTGATGCTTGGCCTAAATTGGTATGTGTGATGATGAGATCTGATTGTCCCTGTCACAAGTTGAAACATTGACTTTCATTTGGTGAGGCATAGTTGTGTGATAACTGCAAAGTTCGTCACTTTTTGATTGCAGAGTGATCATTTCCCCTTCATCTACTGTGTCGAGAAGTTGGTGACTGAACACAAGTTTGACAAGTGGGAGACGTGTTACGAGAAGCTCAATCTCAACTCAAAACCTGTTGCCGATTGTCTCAGCAGTGGACATGGAAACAAGGTTAGTAGTCCCTCCTCTTTGTGCATCTTGCTTCGCTGCATATTCTTGTTGCTGATTGCTTTTTAATGGAATGGTGGTGTTGCCTGATTTAGCAAGGAGTATAGATGGATGTCATGAACAGTTTTATAGGCCGACTCTTACTTATGTGATTTATCATGTTGTTGTTTTGAAACTTCTGGGTTATAATTTACTGACTTGTGCATTCAGTTTCTAATCTATTTATTTGCTGCAGCTTGCGTTGCACTATGCCGCAGAAACAAAGGCACTTCAGCCTCCTCATGAATACGTACCCTGGGTAGTTGTGGATGGTCGGCCACTTTATGAGGTTCGTTTAGTATGCTTCTTTTCACTATCTGCTGAAGTACTGAATTCTTAACCTTAACCAGTTCACTCTCTCTCACTCCTCATGCGTGAATGATATCGTTATTATTCAGTTGTCAGTCAGTGAGACTTTAGATAAGCGTTCATTCCATGGATTGGGTTGGTCTTTCTATGATAAATGAATGTTCTGGTTTCCAAATGTGAAACCTCCTTGTTCTTGTGAGTTAGGTGGGCTTAGGCAGTTACAAAGCAGGGTATACTCTTTAGCTGTGGTCAGCATAGGAGAAGTGGAATTGCCCCTAGGCTTGTAGGCAAAAGCTGATGAGAACTGAACTGTCTTGAGGAACAAGCAGTTGATTATTATTACCTGTTGCCTATTGGGATGGTCCAGTTCGCTTTCATTCAAATCCTCTTCACAAAATGCATCCACTTTTAAGAAGTTTTAGATTCTCTTGATCTATGAAGATTGAATGCGCTGCATAATAACCCATTAATCAGTGGGAAAAGGAGTTCTCTGTATGTGTTTGTGCTCGGTGTTTCTTGTCTTTGAACCTAACGTTGTTGTCTTTTTCTCCTTTGCTGCAGGAATATGAAAACTTCATAAGCTACATCTGCAAGGCTTACAAAGGTAATAAAGTGCCTGGTGCCTGCGCCAAATATTCATCTGACAACTTCATTCGCAGTTTCAAATTGAAACGCTTCCCTCTGGTTTGCCGGAAAGGAGTTAATAAGATGTCGGATATGTTGGAACGTATCAAAACATCTTTATCGTCATACGTCAACACTGCAGGCCTGCTATAAACCCTTTTCCAGTTTCTTTTTACCTATGTATCAACACACCCTGAAAAGCTATCTAGATTCTGAAATCCAAATGTATCAGAATTGTATGTTTGTTCACAACCTTTAAAGAATCATAGTAGTAGTCCTATGTATCAGAATGTATGATTGTTCACAACTTTTGAAGAATCACATTAGTTTTATTTATTTGTGCTATTATTACTAGACTAGTTGCAGTACTTAATTTAGACGATTTCGGTTTTAACTTTGATAAAAGTTGGTTCAGACGGATTTAGTTTTCGATTTTTCGGTTCGGTGATGTTGTAGACTATCACTAGTAGGAAAGTAGCCTACAACTCTATAAGGGTTGAATATGGAACAGTACTGAGACCGTGACCCACTACTAACTTCGACGTTGACCATGAACATCAGAATCTCGAAATAAAGTTTAAATTTATACATCACAATTGATAGGTATATAAACAAGAGCAATCTAGACTTCAACCCTTTCTATCCAATTCAAACGATTAGACATAAAGAAAAAACTTTCCTCATACGTGTATACTAACAATTATTGGAGCTCAGAGAACTGACTACTTCAGCCTAGTAAATTTGGCTTATTAATCTAATTCGTCTCCCTCTAGTTCTAAATCTGAACGTTGCCACATTCATTGAATACTTCTGAATTAATATCCAAAATTACCATTTTAAATGTATGTTTTAATACTTAGTAACAATTTGGAAAGAAGTTTATATATGAAACTTAATATAAATGTGGTATTATAAAAAGCAGAAACAATGATTTGTTCTTTCTCGACCGGAGGTCCGTTGCGGAAGGAGATAACAATAAAAAAAATATACCATGACATGAGTTTGAATCGAATAAGTAGATCGTTCATTAGTTTTTGAGGGATGGCTAACTGATACTGAAAGGTCCATCGTCCATGTATTTCTCTAGACTTCTATTCTCGATCAAAATGAAATGTAATTAATGTAGCTGATTGATTACAACCTTACAGGTATAATCATTAATTAAAATAGGATAAAATAGTGTGGCATGGCTGCTAGCTCGTCTTTATCAAAGCCCATGTGATTAGGAACAAAACAAATTCGGATAATGATTTGGAAGGACCACTAATTCTGAGCTATCATATATATAGGGGAAACAATGTCTCGAAATACATAGACTCGTAATGCAAACGATAAGAGTGCATATATATAGGCTAGGACGACTTTTACATGATATTAAAATTATCACAAGCTAAGAATGTTCACGAAAAACAGTATACAATCTCATAATGGTCAACCAAAAAATACGTCATTACTGACGACGGGAAAAAGAAAACACTACTTACATTACTTCACCATTGTGCATTACTCTATGACTATGACTTCATTGGACCAGACTAAAGTATTTGAACATTGCATTGTTTCTTAAAACCCCATTAGCTCTAATCGACATTATTATAGTTGCTATAATTGTTTTCTAAGACAAAATCTAATCATTGAATTGTAACAATAGAAATTTAGTTTATAGATTTCGTTAGCTAATTTACAACTATGGTCTGACGACGAATATAATAACAAACGAACACATAAGCTAAGGGGTTAAAAGGTAAAAAAGGGTTGAAGAACACATGTGTGGAATGACACGTATAAGGACACAGTGAACACGAGGCCTATGTCGGTCGGAAATAGTGGCAAACAATACTGTCTCAAGAGTCACGATCTTGGTCTCTTCGTGTGACTTTTACCATTTATCCAAGGTTATTTCCGTACACGTGCGTCTGTACGTATATGGAAGAACATGTATATACGTACACCTATCTACTACTCATATGAGGCTAAAGAGTGTGAGGATTGGAACATATATATGTACGTGCGCAGACACGCAGATGTGATATAACAAGGCATTGATATGAATAATGAATTAAGTACAGTTAACATTCATATACGTTTTATACAGTCCGCTAAGAGCATCTCTATTACACATCATTTTCCAATGTAGATTATTGCGGCATCAAGAAAATAGTTAGTAATGTGATGGTACATCTCTATTACACATCATTTTCCAATGTAGATTATTGCGGCATCAAGAAAATAGTTAGTAATGTGATGGTACATTATTGCGGCATCAAGAAAATAGTTAGTAATGTGATTTGTATACGTTATATACCTGCACAGACTAATCAACGTCGTATATATATTTTTTGATCAACAACAACAAACAAAAAACGTATATACGCAACGCAAGGCTGAACAACTGCACCTCTCTTTTTTCATCTGTCGCTTAACTTAATCAGTCTCTTCGGTTCTTCTTCTTCGCTGATGATCTCTAAACTCTTCAAGAAATTTTTAAATTGAATTCTCATGGTTATTACCAAGATACCAGTTGATTAGAAAAGTAAGTTTATGATCTATACATAATTCATATAGAAAATATATTATATTAAAAATCAAATCTCGTGATTGTGTTTCAATGATAACGTTTTAATCAGAATCGAAAAGTAAGACCAACACATAATTCATATAGAAAGTATATTATATGAGAAAAAACCCGCATTAGTCTTTGAAAGTGTGTGGTCCGATTTTACAAGAAACTAAAATCAAGACATTATACTGCATCAAATTAAAGATCCAATGAACTAAAAATAAAATACAGTTAAAAACCTCCGATCCATTCTCTGTTTTAATATATAGTATATGTTTTCACGATCAACTCAAAGAAAAGATTAATAATCAGTTACCTTGGAACAAAGGAAGGTTGAGTGTGAGTTCCATACAGACCATATATATAAATAATTGTATATATAATTTATAAACCAAAGAAAACCCTATAATAATATACTATAGAGTATATATATATAATTTAATTAAGGTGGTACGGGGACAGACGGAGCACCGACGACGTTACAAGCGTCGCCGTCACTTTGTCTGGAAGAAGCGACGTCAAGTCTAACGGTGGTGACAGTTGGTGGGCGTTTCCGTTTCTTTTTCTCGTAAGGGATCCCGCGGGCCTTGGCCTGACTCTCTCTGACTTCCCTCAAGTAAATCCTGACCGCACGTGCGGCGAACGGGTTCGAATCGGGCCGTCCACCGTTCTCCTCGTAGGCAGCTCTCAGCCGTCCGATGAGAGCATCGAGAGATCCCCAGGCTTGCTTGAGAGGGCAGGAGCAAGGAGACGGAGGCTGCTGATGGCCGAAGTAAGGACAAGCCGCCACGTGGACTTTGGTCTTGCCGAACTGATCAAGGTACTTGAGGAACTCGATCACGTGCGCTCCGCTACACCGTGACAGGGCGAGAGGCGGCTTGTGGTTCTTGAGGTACTGCAAGAAGGTGTTCCAGTCGCGACGCTTCTGTGACTCATACCTGCTAGGCGTAGCCGGTGGCGAAGAGACGAAAGATGGACCTGCCGGGTCGTCTCCTCTTACCGGGTCGGATCGTTGTGACCCGGAATCCACCGATTCCATTAGGGTTTTTTTTCTTGTGTGCGTTTGATTTAGCGTTGAGTTTTGAGAATAGAGAAAGGATCGATAACTTTTTAGTGTTTAGTTAAAAGAGAGAGAGATAAAGAGAGAGAAAGAGTGTGAAGCTTTGTTATTAGGTTTTGGGGTTTTATTTATTTAATTGTTCAAAACAGACAAAAAAAAAAAAGATATAAGAGGAAGAAGAAAAAAAAAAACAGAGGGGTTTGGGCTGAATAGTGTGAATTGTGAAAAGAAGAAGGAGAAGAAGAAACTAAATCACGTGGTCATGACCCTACTCACAGGCCACTTGACACTTTTTACTATTCTATTTAGGTCAAGTGTGGACCTTTGCTTATATCTTAAAAACATTTTTTTAAAAATTAATAATGAATACCACTATTATTAGGGAATATTATTTTCTAGTGTTATTGGAATTATAAACCAATCAAGAATTGCAAGTATGGAAGTCAGATCTGAATTATTAGTTTTTGTATGTATTTTAAATAATCTCATGCTTTGTTGTTTATATTAATTTTTTCATATAATGAATGTTAATTAAATATTTAGAGTAGATTTTGTGATGAGATAGCCAATAACATGCATCAACTCAAACCATGGAAAGAAACATATGCAAATGCTGTTGTGATTTTAATCTCTCACAAATATATGCGCTACGAATACTAAAAAATCGTACTTGATGTACAGTTTATGTTTAGCCAAACATGTCAAATATATAATATATATATATATATATATATATGTATGTTAGTAACGCTTTCTAGATCTGAAGTTTCTGTAGTAAAAAGTAAATAAATAAAAAAGAAAATTATACTTTTGGTGTACTGATGAATTGATGATGATCGAAATCTGTAGGTATAACACCCTATTTCCTTTGATATATATTTTCGTTTTGGTATTTCTCTAAATATCTAATCACTCAAATGCATGTGAAACCATTTATATAGTTATATCTCAATATAAATTTACAATGTTGCAAGAACCGTCATTATATTTCTATCAAATTGCTTGTATATATATATTTGTTAAGCAGAAAAAAGAAAGATGAAGGGTACGGTTATGCATGTCGTTTTTATAGATATGTGACACAAATATGGAAAAAGTTCATCTATTTTGTCTTTTAATTTAAACGAGAGATGGTAGGTATTATCATTGCGCTGGTCGTTAACATATCAAATCGTATGTTAGAAAAAAAAAACATTATAATCGAATACACACTCGAACCTCTGAATCTTGGTAGTATTAGTGAATGAATGATTCCCAAAAGCAATTCACTTATATATGGTTTTGATTTTTGATCTGAAATTTCTTATAGTTAGCAAATTAACCTACATTCAACGTACGAATGTATTTTTATTTTTTTGGTTTGTACCAGGCAATACCGAATTCGCTCGTTCAAAACGCATCTGATTACATATTATAAAGATGGACCACATTGGTTGAGCGAGTGATATCAATGAAAGGACTAGTTATTTGGAATCTGACAAACATAAAAGTTGGAAAACTCAGAGTCGAGTACATCTCCACCATCCAAATTTGGCAAAATTATAAAAACCTATTTGGTCCCACCCTGCACTACATATGCGTACGTGCGTGTGTGCCTTCAAATTATTTTCTTGCAGAGACTTGTAGAAGTCACATAGAAAACATCTTCACACTTACCTTGTACTCCCGTTTTTTACAGCTTCCAAAAAGTATAGAGATATATCATAGGACGTGACAGTACTGATCGAGCGATACTGATTGGATTCAGTATATTACCCTAACCCTAGTTTAAAAAAAAAATATTATATATCAAAAAGGTTTCGGTAGGTCAAACTAGCATGAATTCGTATTTTCACTATTTCTCAAACTAATTGATCATACTTTATTCTTTATGACATATTGACATCAATCAATGAGTTCGATATATGGCTGCAGTTAGTATAAAAAGTAAACATAGTTTAGACTGCCATTTCCTCAGTGTATTGTTGTCTGTATTTTAGTTTAGAATGCATTGCTGTTGTTGCTGTTTGTTTTATCCAGTAGTAAACTCAATTAGAGATTAGGTACTGTCTTTTTGAACATATATATACACAATAGCATGGTATGCCCATTGATAGGACAGGACGTCTTGATCTCTTATATATGGATTTTTTCTTGAATCGGAATGCACTGCGTTAATTTTCAAGATTCTTGCAAGTATGACAACCTACTTAAAGAGGGTTATGACTATTTATAGTAACTTTTTGCCTGATAGCGTTCTATTCTGCGAGCGCCGGACACTAGCCAAATGAAAAAGGTAAGACATGATTTACATATACATAAAGCTATTTTCACATCAGCTCATATCTTTACGATATATATATATTATTGTATTATACATGCATGGCTTAAATTTTAGAATTTTTAATTAGCTTAAATTTTACTAGTTATAGTTCTAATACATAATTAAAACAAGTAATGATATCATGTAAAGAGAGGTCGTCTAATACAAAAACTCAACAGCAGCTGGATATGTTGAGAAAACAAAAGAACAAAAGGATCCGATGCCTATTTTTGTCTACCACTATGGATATTAAGGAGGACATAGAAGTCAATGTTGCAGCCCCCACAATGTGTTGATGAACAATAGAATATATGAGTAAGAATGACAAACTTAAATTCAAATAATTGGTTGGTGGCTTGGTGCTTACGACCCACCACCCACACACATCAATAGCTTTATAACGACTATTCAATCTCATTAATTTGTTTCCCTGGTGGATGGTGATAAATGATCATATCATACGATCGATTTTTTTTGTCTTTCCAAAACTTATCACAGCTGCCTGTCTCAAAAGGATTCTCATATGAGAATTCGGAATTTAAGACTGACTTTTGAAACGTTCTGAAAACTGTGAATTTCTTTATACAATAATTGCTAGATAAATATTTCTTCATTTTTTACGTATTAGTAACATATAAATATATTTATATCGCAGATGGTCCCGTAGCTCAGTTGGTTAGAGCGTTGGTCTTATGAGCCGAAGGTCGCGGGTTCGAGCCCCGCCGGGACCATATTTTCAGTATTTATTTGACCCTTATTTTGGTGACCATCATTACACGTTTTTTTTTTTTTTTTTTCGAAAACCATTACACGTTCTTAACAAACAATAACCTTTTTCTCAGTTGTCAATTGTATATAACGTAGTTTCTAACATTTTACTAGCACACGTAACTATGAATCAGTCTGTTGACTGTCCTAACCCAAGGAAACTGAACACTGTACTACCAATTACTCGACATGGCAGAGTAATTTCGTATATATAGTACTAAAATTGATTATTTTGAAGTATATAACAATTTGAAATTACAATTTGGTAGTATGAAGAACAATATTTGGAGGATAAGTTAAGAACTGGGTTACCAAAATAAGCCCAGTGTTATCTGCAACCACACTCGCAGAGTAAAGTAAAATAAAAAACTTTAAGACTGAGAGTTGTTGAGATTTGTGGTAATAGTTGTTGTTCGGATTCAGTCCATGAGTTTATAACGCTTCTCTTGCACACCAGAAACTCCCATCTGTATCTCTATGATAGTGTGAAGTGGCATCTGTTGAAACATTCATAAATGTTATCATGTGTACGACATCCAAAACTATCTGAAAGAGCTTATCACTTAATGGTTTTAAGATACCCCTCATGTATTCTAATTTAGATTTACCTCTATCTGGGGTATTTCTTTGAGAGGACGATCCGCAAAATATGCATACAAGGCTCTCAGAACAGCCTGCATTAAAAGGCCAACCGAAAGAGGAAGATTGGAACTCAGTGACAAGTCAGAGAAGTTTTCAACAGCAAAATTTAAGGTTTGTGTTTTTCTTTTCAAAGTATTACAGTTTTTAAGCCGCCAGAATTTGATCATGTCGACGATTTCTTTAAAACTCCAGAGCCAAGGGATTTAGACATTATATAATAAAACAGATCGTTTGGAGTATAACCTGGTGAGATATCACGACGACAGGAGCTCTTTGTCGTTCTAACTCAATGATCACAGGTTCAAGCCTGCATTATCAAGGAAGCCATATTTTCTTGTTGAGGTTAAGTTTATGACTAAACTTAGAAGAAGTACAAGAGAAGAACTTACCGTTGAATTACATCAAGGTAGGACTCTCCACGAGGGTACCGGTATCGCAATTTGTCCTTTTTCCGAGATCTGCAGTCATATCACCAAAGATGAGTTAGAGAAGTCTGAAATTTTATTGCCTGTTCGACGAGGGTATCAATGTCGCAACTATTAATGCTCTTTTACATAAACAGAATTGACTAAGTCACTTACTCGTACTCTTCTGGCATATTCTTCTTTACCTCTTCATATGTCATCCCATCGCAAACTCCAGCATTGATCTCGTCCAGGGCACGCCATTGCACCTAAGATGAATATATGAGAAATCGATTTCCTCAAACAGCAAAATATTATACACATGAAGAGTCAGACGACTTTCTGGCAGTAGGTAAACACCAACCTTTGGGAATCCGACAATGGAACTTGCTGTTAAGTTTGTTCTCTGAAGTGTACTGGTCCAAATCTGAGATAAATAAAAGCAATTGATATAAGCGTCTGATTAAGAACTTTTTTTGTTTCCAGATCAACCAAGTATGGAACTGATTGATCCCTTGAGAACCAGTGCCAAAAGAGGCTTCAAGGATGACTTTAATGAGTGAGATGGTGTATTTAAACCAAATTAATATTGTATCAACCAAGAAATGATAGTATCCCTTGGTCCTGAGACACTTTTCATAACTGAATTCATCTGATTTAGAGTTTAAACCTTTCGGGACAAAATGATTTAACGGAGGAAATGATCATCTACACAAAGCCAGGAACAGCCATAAATATTGGTGCAAGGAAAGGAATGGCATGACAAAAACCTACACCGATCAAGTAATTCAGATATCAAATGTGTAACCTATAGATTCACCATTATATACTGGCTATCACGGATAAGTTATACCAATTGGAAACGAAAGGATTAGACCTCGGAAAGGTTCAGTTCTTAACAGAAATTTCCAATTAAAACCTCAAATTGTGAAACGTGTTTCATTGCACCCAGGTCAAGCATCAAGCATCAAGTTTTCTTAGACACAATTTCCAATGCAGCAAATCCTACATATTGTAGCTTGTTTATGGGACTTACCGAAGCAGCCTTTTCAGATTTAAGTCGCTTTTCAACAAAGCTGGCAAGTTTCTTAGCGTACAGTTTTCCAGATTCACTGCATTATAAAGTTGCAAAAGGTTATGAGAAAAAGTTTTCCGCATTTAAACGAGAAAAACAAATTTGGATCTAAATTAGCATACCATGTGGTGATCTCACAACAAAATGATATTTTAAAACGAAATTTGAAAGCGAGAGACTTGTCAAACCAATCTAAGGGATGAATTCATAAGGAAAACAGATGTGATGGGAAAACCAAAAAAAACACCGAAACAATCAGACAGCATTTGGAAGAAACAGAGCCGAGAACGTACCTTATCACGCTATCTCCTCCAATTCTGCCTCTAACATTATCCATGCTTTCTCCATGCCGAGTGAGTAGTATTGGTCGTGGTGTGAGATGCGTATTGACCTAGAAGAAAATCAGCGCCTTCAAAGATCTAAGATGTTGTGAACACTAAGTATTTTTTATATAATTAGCCAACGAATGTTGAGTCTGTTGGCGATGGACACAGTGACCTATGCAAATATATTACTTGTAAGCTAAAGTTTGCAAGTTGCAAACAGGCTAAAGTCGTGTCAATATAGAAACAAGTAAGAGATATAGCCTATTCAATTCTGTATAATGGATTTGTACCAAGAAAAACACAATTCTCCCAGGAAGGTAACCACTAATATTGTTCACCTGCAACAAAAATAGAATAAAAGCCATGAAGAGTTAAAACCATCAAGTATCAATATTGAGATCAAGATTACATGAAATAGCCATGTGAAACGCCAAATTATTTAACAAAAACAGATAGAGACTTACTTGTATCTGTCCACCATTCCCGCTGACCATATCAATCATTTTAATGTAAGAACCTTCTTCTACAGGCTCATAAACCTGGCAAAAAAGAGTAAGCACATTTGTATCAAGTACCATGATAATAGTGCATCAAAGAAAAGTTAGCTAAGCTTAAAAAGGTAATTAAAAGACGTTTAGAAAGTGCAGGTTTGTTTACTGACCCTCTCATAATTGGCTAAACGATCTCTAAAGTCTCGTACTCCAGCTTCAAAATCCGTTCTGCAGGGTAGCATAAACTAAACTTAGTTGACCCGAGAAAGAGAACGTAAAATACAAGTTACTGAGCAAGCATCACACTCTTCTGAATAGTCAGGACTTTGCTGGATTTTAAGACGTATGTTCCTTTCAATAATGCGCTCATCATTGCATAGTGTTTCCAGAAAAATGATCTGCATAAGAGATAAAAGGTAAATTAGTTACGGATGATAATTCCAAATCCAATATTAGCTGAAGGTGGTCATGACAGCATCACAGGCGCTGCATCAAAGCAATTCGTTAAAAATAAACACTGCTAACCAAGCATGCTTTCTACAGAAGAATAATTGTGCTATTATATGAGAAACAAAAGCACAGTATATCAAAGCTTCAATACCTTACACTTTCCTTCAGCCATTTTCATCAACATGTTCCGTCGAACTCGTGTGCTATTAGTTGCATCAAAGATTCCAACCTACAGCTAAAAACTATTTACAATGCAGTATATAAAAAACAGGAACTTACATCTAACCAAGATACTTACTTGACCACCTTCCTGCATCCAAGCTATCATGTCCTCCATTGCAAGTGCTGCTACCTAGTGGCATGTGATATATTAAAACTATGTGCAAAGAAGAAGATAAACAGTGTTAACATTTACCACTGAAATAAAACACCTCCCAATATGACAAATTTAAGTTGGAAATATCATAAGAAAGATTTAGACACACAAATTAGAAGACACAGCCGGAAAATGGCATATTAAAATTATTCAATTTTCATTTACCTCAGTCCGTGCCTCTACACCTTCAGGATTGTCAGCTCGGAAGAAATCAGCACTCTACATAAGGCTCATTCGTTTTCAATCACAAATCATCCAAAACAAGGACAAAGTGTAAGACCTCAGATTAAGAACCAAGCATTACCTGGTTAACTCCATGTTTAAGCCGTCGATACTGCGAAGAAACGGAGCAGTTCTCGAGTTAATCTTTCCAACAGGGGTTAAAATATGACAGGGTATGCTAAAGCAATCAATGATTGTTCCAAAAGAATAGCTAACCTTTCCAACATTAAAATGTTTAGTATCATGTCCCAACCAGCGTAAATATCTTGTCAACTTTGCTGCAGTAAAAGTTTTTCCTCGAGCTGGCAAGCCAACCTAGTACAATTTTTCCCGAAATGATGTTAAATATAACATCCAGTTCCTTTTCTTTTTCATTTATGTCTATAAGTTAACTAAAATAGCCAGCTCCATCAATCAAACTAGGAAATATAAGCTAAACGGCCTACAGAAACTATGAACAACATCTATGTGGCTAAAATTACCAGGACAATAGCTAGATGTCTATCTTCTTTCGGCCCAAGCATTTGATCAGCTACTGCTGCTGCGGCAACAGCTCCTGCAGCGGCTGGCATTGAATTCTAACAATAAAAACGAATAAAAGGGTGACAACAGTATAAAAAAAATCTTAAATTTCAGATGACTCCACTGAAAGATAGAAACTAGCTCAGGCCAAACCTTGATTTGCTTGGTATCGATCAAAAAAGAGCTTGCGCTAATAGACTTGATTAGCCTAGGGGAGCCAACACCGCGGTCAACAAAGAGTCCCTTTTGACCATCTTTCTGCAGAAACGGTGAGAGTGTTCCCACTGACTTTGACTCAGCCTCTCCTGAAGCCGAATAGATATTTGAGGAATCAGGAACTATGATCGTCATTTCCTATAGGTAAAATGTATGGCAATGGTCAAATAAGAAAGCCGAAAGTTAACTAATGGAGGATCTGAATCTACTAAGCAACTAATCAAAGTAGCACCTTTGCAGATGGAGATCCATCAACCCTAACATCAGAATCTTCAGAAACGTTTGGTGCTGTGGTTGTAGTCTTATCATTAAGAAACGAACCAGAAGCTGAAAGAGATCGTGGATTCTCGGCATTGTCAGCCGCATAAACAAGGGACGAGTTTGCAGAAGGTGCAGGAGCAGGAACCTCATAATGAGCAAGATCGAGCTCCAAACTTTCTGGACACTGCTATAATACATCAAAGAAAATTTTCATTCTCAGGATTGGTCAACAAGTTTATTTCTATTCTTGATTGATATCAGAAGTTGCAGTAGAGAAAAACGACATTAAGGATAAATGGTGAGCAGAGAGAACTAATTTCTGCTGTTTTAGTTGACATGACTAAAACAGATAGAAGGAAAATGCAGTAAAAACAAAGAAGTAAAAGAGCAAACTACCTCAAGAGATTTTGGATCAGGATTAATGCTGACATCAGGAATTCCCCGTACTGTAGAAGGCTGGAGATTCTCCCTATAAGCTCTCCAACTAGTAGCAAGATCAAATGGCGAAACCCTGTCAGCTTTGATGAAGACTCGGAATTCAACAATCACATCACCTTCCAGCCTAAACAGAGCTAATCTAGCATCTCCTTGTAAGGAACCACCAGTAAGAAGCCTATTTTGACCCTCCTCCACTATGCAAGGCGTATTTCTGTTCTTTGGCTTCAACAAGAACTTGAAATCCAAAGTCTCTACACAGGAAACCAAACCAAAATCAAAAAAAGGTGATGCAGATGATTAGATTACAGGTCACAGCTTGGATTATAACACAGGCTTCAACTAGTATGCTAAACAAGTCCTCAAAATTGAGTAATACCGTGATCAGGAGGAACAACGAAGCTCAGTTCAGACATTGACGCGGATTCACGTTGCAACGGCAGCTGTTAATCAAAATTGAAAACGCAGAAACGCAATCAAATTCAGGATGGATGAATCGGAAGGAAAGACGAAGAAGATTTAAAAAAAAAATCAAAGGGATTCTCACAGCTTTAGAGGGATCCCAGGAACCGATGAGGGGAAGAGAGCCGTAGACATGAGGAGTGAGCTCGCCTTCGACCTTAGAGTTCTCCATTTTGAGTGAAACGTAGAGCTGACCTCCTCCGCCATTGGAACCATCGTCATCATCCTCAGTATTCTTCGATGCACCTGACCCCATCGAAACCACCGTCGACGTTCTTACTTCTTCTGTTATTTTGATTTGAATTAATGAAGAAGAAGAATGATTGCGCAACAGAAAGAAAAAAAAATCAAACGGATAAGAGATTTGAGAGCAAGGAGAAGAAGCGAAGCCGCTTGCTCCGCAGCTTTTCTTATTTCTTATTTTCCTTTTTTTCGGAAAATTTCGGTTGTCCTGAGTGGGACATTGGGATAACCGGATAAGAGCAAATACGTGGTGGTTGGTTAATTGGTTTGGGTCGTTTCGGGTCCGATAGTTTTAGGTCGGGTCGGGTCGGATCGGATCGTATACTTTGCTTGTGCTTGTTGGGCCTATGTTGCCGACTCGTATTATATATCTGATTGCTTGTGCTTTACTGGGCCTATGTTTCCATCTCCGAGGTTTTCCTTTATTATATTGTATCAGTGTCTTGCTCTTGAAATAGAGAGACCTGTAGCTTCTTCAGAGCCGAGGTTTGCTCACTCGCTTCTTGTTCTGTTTCGTCTTCGCCAGTAGTTTTAAATATTGACATCAGTAGTAACCTTAGGTTTCTGGAATTTGAGGTGTGGGTTTTATGTTTTTGCTTGTTGCATTCGAAAATAGGGATGAACACTGCAGGCTTGGATAGTACAATAATTTTGAGTCATACTTCCTTACATATCTAATGCATAATCTCAAAAGCTAGATTACATAACATGGTTCATTCTCTTAGTCATTGCATCACCTATATCACAACACAAGTCTTTTAATTTTATACTCAAATTCCAAACCAACCTAGAATTGTTTTCAGAGATATGTCAACAGTTGCATCCTTATCTTCTGGGTTTTGTAGTGATCTTCTTTAGCTCATTAAATATGTTTAATGTTTCTCCATCAAAACCTCCCGCAAACTGAATTGAATCGTTGGTTAGGAAAGAACCAAATAGATATGAACATGGCTTATTATAGCAGATAAGTTTCTATGACGTTTATCTACCTGGTGTATTGTGTAGGCAAATCGAACCCCTTGAAGCATAAGATTTCCTTCTTTACCAGTTCCGTTTGATTCCAGCTCGTTGGTTATTCGCTTCATGTACTCCTGAGCTAGCCTCAGCGAGCTGTATTTTAGCTGCAACAAGGTAAAGGTTCCTCAAATCTTCTGTCAAAGTAGTGGTGGATGTAAATCTAAGCAAATTTTTATGTCACCAGTTTAATACTGGCAACCTTTCTTGAAGTTGGTAAAATGGCTGATTCATTTTGGAATAGATGGACTATATATTTTTCATAGAATGTTTGAGCTATCAATAGTTTAGTATAGGTATCTTTGCATCTCTTTATGCTAGTCCATAATTTCTTTTTTATGTTCTTTTGTGTACATGTGTTTGTTTCCATCATAATCAATTAATCAGATTTTATTGGTATATTTTAGATATCAGTCACCTAACCTGTCCAATCAATCCTGTGTCGAGCATCCACTCCCACGGTATCTGAAAGTCCTTGTATCTCTTCCCTGTACTGTCTCTCATCTTCTCTGTGTTGTTAACACTTTCCTCTAACCTGAAAATTTTGAAGATTTAAGGCCATTAACTCGTGTAATTGGTTAAGATCAGGACATTACTGGTAATTATATTCTTTATACATGCTCGCCTGTCTTGCAACGATTGAATCCTTTGCAAGGCCTGCGTCAGAGAATCCTTTGGATTGTCCTTGAATGATGAAATCTCTGATTTAAGGTTTTTTAGCCTTTTGTAGTTGCAAGCAGCCTCTCTTAGTGAGTCTGCTTTTCGTTCTGGCCATTTAGGGAAATGCTTTAGGACGGCCCTTTCATCAACCAAGGAAGATAGTTCTTCGTCTATCCATTTCACAAATGTCTCCACTTCTGATATGTCTATAAATGTTGCAGCCTCCACTTTACTAATCAAGATATGGATATGATCTCTGTGTCTGTCAGTGTCAGATTTAATCTGCAAATGCGCAAACACCGTTAGGAGATCTTGCCATGCTAAATCTGTTAATTCTTGGCACCTAGATTATACAGTTGTGATGGAGATTTCATATGTTATTATGGAGAAAGTTTATACTTTACAGTACTTACATCTAATAGATATTTGGAGCGATTCTCGATTTCACCAATCATGTTTTTGCTGAATGCAGGAGACATAGCTCCATTCTGATTGATCTTGTTCCCCATATGAGACTCTCTCTTCGTCAGGGCACGATAAAATTCTACAACTTCTGGAGCACGACGTACAGATCTTTTTCCAAGTGTTGTCTTTGATGGAAGTGGTGGCGGTGGTGGCGGCTTTATCGCTGTAGACTGTACTTGGACCATTGGCTTGAGATTTGGATTCCTGACCTCTTGACCCTTTGTGTTGGATTTGACACTCTCTGATGCTTTCAGGTTAACTCCGTCTGTATTGCCACCATCATATGAGCTCTGCAACTTCTTCCATAACATTGATTTCCTCTCATTGTCATGTGCTTTAAGATTGCTTACTTGTGCTCTTAGGCGAGTGACTTCTTGACGCAGCTCGTGGTTTTCCTTCTCCAGCTTGTCGTTCTTTATTAGAGAAGCTTGAAGCTCCTTAACGAGACGCATGAGATCCGAATCATCTTCTCTATTTGGTAACATTTCTGTGAATCCCCTTGTTCTAGTAGTATGAGTTTGTTTTTCTTTGAGGGGAAATGTTTCTCCTTTTTATGACATGCCTTTAAATGACTTCGCGATGAAGAATTATAGACTCACCTAAACCTTTGATGTTCACTTTTGCGTGTAGCTAATTGCAAATTACAGTGCAGCCACAGAACAAGACTCTTCTCTGGAGTGACCTCTTCTTTTCTAAGCTGGATTCGACCCTAGAATACTGCATATTACGGCCTAAGCTCTTGTGTGAAGGAAACTAAGGTCATCATCTTGAATGATTATGTTCAAGATTATTCATGCTTTGATGCGCATGGTTTGTCTAATTACTTTTATTACTTTCCTCTTTTTTCTAAATTGCAGATTAAGTTAGAAGATCCTCTGGGTCCGCAAATAAGTCACAGGTAAGCAAGTACTTTTACATAGCCTTCCTCATCACATAAGAAGATAGATAAGATAGTTTATTATGTTGAAGCTTCATTAGCTTCTTTTTTGGGTCAATGAAGCTTCATTAGCTTTAGTTCGTAAGGAAATGTGAGCCATCAGGTACGCGTATGGCTTACCTCCCAAGTAATAGTCATTTGCTGAACAAGCTTCGTGTCTCATTCTCTCACCCACTTTTTAATCCACGTCGTACGTCCACGTATGGGTTCTTTAGATAGCTTTTCTAATATAACGTTCGCAGTAGCGTCATGGACTAAGCGTTCTCGTTCTAACTTAACAATTCACTCGTTTATACAAAACTACACTTCAAATTTTCATAAGAAATACACAAATTTGAGTAGTGCATACTTAAAAGTATTCACATAAGTCGCAGGCCAGGACTCCAGATCACTAATGTTTTTTTTTTTTTCTAATTACGAAATTTATCAAAAAAAACTGAAAAAAAGTTTTTGTTTCTTTTGTAAATGGCAATCAGCTGTCCTTGGAGCATTTAACTTGTGAACTTTATTATTCTCTGCATCTGAAGCAAAGGTAGACTCGAAAATGATATCGCACCGTACAATACTTTCTCCTACTTTTTTCATTTTCCTTATTTAGCTTTCATCATTTAGTTTCAGGCTAATCTAGAAAACGAAGCCTTCTTGTGTTGTTGTCCAACCAAAAAAAACATGAGTTATGTGCATTGTCTTTTTATATTTTTGTAAAGTGTAAAATTATAAATGTGTCTAATTCATTGAAATCTTGCTTAGTGCTGCTCTGCATCATGTAGTAAGAACTCAAAATGGTCATCTATCATGCTATGCTATGGTTTCTTTACTACCTTTTAATTCTGGAGAAGGTAAAGTAAAGCACCTAATAATTAACGTTGAGGTCCAACCTAAAAAAAAAACAATTCAACCAGGTAGATTCTATAATAATCAATTGGTTACGGTAATAAAAGTTTAGTTATCTTTAGTTATATGAAAACTATGTTGTATAATCACATTTGAATGATTTAAATTTTATTAATTCCGCTACATTCCAACTTTTATAAAACTTTAACAATTAATTCAGTTTCCTTAATTATTCATCATTGACATGCAAATTGTTCATCTTTTAATTTTCTTCTCCAGCCATCGGCCATGGATCGGTTACTACAAAACACACATGCTAAACTCATGGTTCGTGACATCCACTGCCTGACACAGTCGTCTACAGAGTCCAACTCATACTCTGTAGGTGGTGGCGCGCTCGTCTCACGCCTAGAGACAGTGGGCACAATCGTCTCTCGCGACCTGACCCCAAAGTTCCTCAAGTTTGGCGTCGACGATGGCACGGGCTGCGTCACGTGCATCCTCTGGCTCAACCAACTCACTTCTTCTTACTTCTCCCGGTTGGATCCAACCACGATTCTGCTCCTCGCAAGCACCGCGCGGAAACAAGCAGCAGAGATCAGAATCGGAGCCGTGGCTCGCGTTCGCGGCCGCGTTGGCTCGTACAGGGGAGTGATGCAGATCACGGTTACGGTGGTGGTTATCGAGAGAGACCCAAACGCGGAGATCTTGCACTGGTTGGAGTGTTTAAGGCTCGGGAAAAGTTGCTATCGTATTCAAAGTTAGATTAACTCGTGTTTTTTTCAAGGCAAAAGTTAATTGCTTATAAAATATTTGAAGAGAGTTTCAACCTAAACGCATGAAGCAACCAATTGCAAAGAGAGTACTCATACAATCTGTAGGCCCATTAAAGCGAATCCCATTCTCAATCTCAGCCCTAGTCGATATCGAGAATACGAGATCCAATCAAAAAATCAACGGCACAAGTGCTTCAACCAATTTAGATTTCTTATTATTTACTTTTTAGGGCAAAAAATACAGTATTTTACATAATCAATTGAGATTTGGACCCAAAAAAAAAAAAGACATATTTAATCAATTGAGAAAAAAGTTGTATTAAAAAATCACAAACGAAATGCTTATTTGAGAAAAAACAAGTACTCTACTGATCACACAAAAACATTATTAAACACGTACGGAATTAATGTGTGAATAAAACAACGGAGGGAAAAAAGAGAGTTGGACTAATTAAGATTCAGATGAGAAACTCTTCCAATTTCATAGAGAAAACAGATTGATCGATCACCATGCAAGATTCGATGAATCAGTCGTCATGCGGTGAGAGATGTATATAGAGCAAAGTTACTTTACACGTTAACGTTTGGAAATTATGTACGCGTTTACTAGATTGAGTTTAAACTTACACAATATTTTTTTTTTCCTATTTTAAACTTTTCATATACAAACGCTATACTAAAGAAAAACAGTAATCACACTAATACGAGTAGAAGAATCACACATGTACATCAAGAATTGATTTCTACAAATTAACAATTTAGCGCGATCAGGTAAATTATCAGATCGAACCTCAACCATAAATGAAAGGATGACCACCAGGAAATAAATACTCTGGCCACTACTGAACCAAGATTAAACCGGCTAAAATAACCGATAAAGCCAACCAACCGGCTGTTCCTTGAAGATTCCTGGTTCCGCTTGATCTATGATGCGATCCGCCACCACCCGTATGAATCGGAATCACATGACGACTTTTGCTTCCCCTGCTGCCACCGCCCCCTCGTCCTCCACCACCGCCTCCTCTTTTGATGACGACAGCTAATTCCCGAGCCTTTCCTTCAAACCCAACAACGTCTTCTGACTTTGAGTCGTCTTCACTGAGAGGAAGAGTCTCGTGGTTCTTATCGACTGAGGTAGGTCGTGATGAGCTCACGGAATGAAAACGCTGCACAAGAAGAAATACAAAGAGAATGTACAATACCAACGATGTTCTTTTCATACCCATTTTTTTCTTGTTTATGTGTGTATTTTTATTTGATCTCACTTTTCTCTGTTGCGTTGCTCTCTTTCTTCTACTTATATAGATTTCGTTTCCATTGTCAAACCGAAAAAGAACAAAACGCGGCAGAAGTGGTTGCCACTTTCGACGTAGTCTCTCTCTTTGAAGCTGCCACGAAATTATCTTATAAATTAATGCTTATCAATTTGAACTTTATTTTATACAATATTGATTTTATGAAGGACCAAAAATTATTAAATAAGTATAAAAGGGATGTTAACAAAATAAATAAGGATAAAAGGGGGTTTTTGAGATGTTTGTTCTCGTAGATAAATATATAAAATCATTTTATGGTACATTTTTTTTGCCCTAGTACTTTGTTTGTCGACGGAAACAAATTATAGTTGGTTTAGCTAATAAAATACAGTAGCTTCGATACAAATTATATAATTTAAAGTTCGGCCGCGTGTATAAGTTGACATGTGGGATGTCATTCTTCGCACTCTTACGGAAATCATAATGGCTTTAATTCATATGTTAACCAAATCTTGATTTTTCATGCATATTTACATCTACATAAAATATTAATCAGGAAAAATCTTGTTTAAAACATTACATTTTAGTTAAAACAAGATAAATTAAAATCTAAATTTTGCTTAAAATTAGAACTGAAGCCAAATTATTCTGATTTTCTATAAAGTAATAAATTTTAGATAAGAAGACACAGACAAAAGTGACAACAGAAAATAATCTCATTCTTTTAGGGTTTACATATCTCATTTAAATCAAAGTACAAGTAGCCTGTCATCCTTTTAGCGATTTTTTTTTCCTGTTCATCTCTAAATGACTGTTGAAAAAAAATATATATATGTTTGTAATCTATACAGTTAAAAGGGTGTTAATCAATCATAAAATCCAAGCATCATTAATTCTTATGTACTAAAAAAATATGGTGTTATTGGAATATTTTTGTTAATTTTTTTTTGGTAGGAACTAGAAAATTGTTTTTTTTGTTTTTTTGGTAGGAACTAAAAAATTGTTTATATCTATACATTTATCCAATTAAACACATGTCATTCAATCATAAATTTTAATCTAAACATATTTCATTGTTATGCTCACTCTTATTGGAAATTAATATTATAATTGTGCTTTAGGGATTGCTATACAGTATGAAAATGATGTTATAACTTCAGAATTTATATCTTGAGAATATTGTTTAATTCAAAAGTCATAGATATTTAGGATTAAACTTTAAAACTTTTATAATGATAAAAGGGAGATTGAGAAAAATATGTATATAATAAAAATAAGATTCTAAACAACAATCTGAGGACGTCAGTAAATTTGAAGGTCTTGGAATTTGAGATGCTGCTAATTTGCGTTGTCCTCGAAGACTAGAGCAAAGTAAATTGGCAATGACCATAAACAAAAAAAATCAAATGCATTCGCTTAAAAAAATATAATAAAATAGGACTTCTGATTCTTGTCCATGAACAAACACTTTTCCATCCTCAAAATAAGACCATCCAAAAAGGATTCATGAACTTGAAACAATGAAACCAATGTACTCTTTCAGATAATCACCTTAAGAGTATCTTTCTCCGGAATCTCCCATATCATCCTGACGCTTTCGACTCAAAAACTATAGACCCAAAACGACTCAGCAAAAAACCCGACCCCAAGCAATCCCCCAACCACTTGATATGACTCGACAACAGATGTATAGATAGATAGTGCCAAGACAATGACTCGTGATGCATCAAAAAAACAATTTTGAGGCTAAATTACCTCGCCAGGAATTTGGCAGCTTAAATGCTGATCCATCTTAAGTAGAGGAACCAGTTTCTTCGGTTTTCTTTTCTTCACCAGCTTTCTCCACCTCACTCTTTTTGGTTTCCTCTGCGTCTACTTCAGTCTTCACCTTCTCCACAGGTTTCTCTTCAGTTTTCTCCTCTGTCTTTTTCTCTTCCACAATCAATTTCTCAAGAAGACCAGCGGTATCAGAAGCATCTTTGCTCTCTTCTTTCTCTTCTTCTGATTCAGCAACTTCCTTGAACTTTTGCATAAATGTTTTGCAATCTGATAAGGAAAATAAGACATGGTTACCCATTTAGTTTAAACACATACTTGACCACCTCAAGATCAATATCTCTTTATAATGTCAGCACAATCTAGCAGACAGTACTTATTTAGACAATTTCTGAACACTTATAAGGCAAATGGAGTTAATAGCGATTTTCAAAACTTGGTAATGGGAGTGCCATATTCCGTGGAAATTGAAAAGCTAAGCAATTCACAGTCCCTAAGTAGCCTATGATGAAAGCTCTAAGGACCCCCAAGAACAAGTAGCCATATAACAAGGATAATTCCAAGACCCTTACGTAATCTAAACCATAAATTCTATCAAAGCTGTACTGAAACTAAATAAGGCAAAGCAACATAAATATGGGGATACGGTCATAAAATAAATCAGGTAACTGAAGGAGAAGGCTAGTATAAGATATGGCACATCTCAGTCAAAAGCCATCTCCGTTAGAAAAATAACTCCATAACGTGACAATATCCAATCGAACAAAGAAAAAAAGAATGCAAAATTTATCTCAAACTCACTCTCGATTGAAGCAAAACGGATGCAGAAAAGCTCATCCTTGAGTTCGCCATCAGCAAAGTCACGAGCGTGCCATACACATGACTTTTCATTTCCAACGTGTTCCTGAACAGTCATGCCCGTTTTAACTGCAGAAACAGCAGAAGCGGAAGATACATACGTAAAGAGTAAACTAAATACGGATCCAGATGAAACTCAATAAAGCATCCTAAACAGAAATTTTACCGAAGTGATTGGCACAGATCTTCAAAGTTTTTGATTGCCTCATAACAAGACGAATCTTGCCAGTGTTCTTATGCTTTAAAAGCTTCACAGTACCAGCTCCTCTCTCCTTCCACTGATTCGCATCCTTATCGAACCGATACAGCTTCGATTTCCTTCAGAGTCACAAAAAAATAATAATTAAGTCAAACATTTCTAAGAAGACTATCGTCCGCTCATCGCCAAAAGCAAAACCCTATAGATTCGATCAGATCCAGTTGACCTAGATAACCAAAAAAATAATCAGAGAGCAATTGAGAAATACACTTACAGATCGAGGACGGCGTCTTCGTCTTCCTCGCCGGTAGTGACGGCAACCTCCTCAAGCCTAACGATGGGAGCAACCTGAGCTCCGGTATCCTCATCCTCGTTTGCTCCGGCCTCTTCCTCGTCTCTGTGCTCGTGCTCGGGTTCGTTGGTCGCCATAGTTATCTACCGAGATTTGCTCGTGGATTCAGTTGTTCGTTCGTTACGGTGCGGCGTATGCGAGAGAGAATTTGGGGGGTTTTGTAACACAGGAGAAAACGGGAAGACAATTTTTATAAACCGCGTTGAACTGAAGCTAACAATGGGCCGATTTCTTATAAATAAATATATAAGGCCCATATAAGACCCAATTAACCCAGTTCTTTTTTGCACATGTAATTATCATCCGTTGACCACAAAAGCAAAATTCATTTTGTATATAGATGGCAAATGTATCGTATTAAAATGTTAGTTAACAATGCAATGCTTTTGGTGAAATTAGTAAACAATGCAATGCAACAACCTAATTTAAGTTGTTCAACTTTCAAGCAATGCTTTTGGTGAGTTTTTGCTGAATGTTTTACTACTATTTGGGATTTTTTGTTTGGATTGACAAGTATAGTTGTTCCGGCTATCTTAATCATGTTTTAAAATAAGCAATCTCGCGCTTATTATTTTCTTTTGCTGAGACAGCGAGCATTAACCGATCAGGTTGACTCAATGGTTCATTTAAGTGCTCCAAAATCCGAACACTTGGGAATTATCAGCTTAGTAGTAGCACATTGGCAGTAAACGTGAGTTATCAATATGATGAGGCAATGATTTGGAAGTAGGACAGTCAATCTCATCTTACCGCGTAAAAAATATAGTTTTGTCCAATCCGAAGTACATGTGCAAACAAACAGAACCTTCAGGCTGAGATTAAAAGACAACATTTCGAGTTTCTTGTTATTAATACCACGATGAGATTGATAACAATAATACATAATGCGTATAATTTTGCTAGAGACACATGTAGTATAAGCCATAATTTCCATTAAGTAATTTAACACCATCACTAATTCATATGGCAACGCCGTCGCCGAGCCCCGGTTTCCCGGCGATGTATTCGGAGACAGAGAAACGTAAATCATCGCCAAGTCATCAGCTACGTCATCGTACGGATCCGATGATGTGTTGTCCGATTCTACCCTTGGGGATTCCGAATATTCCATTGTTGTCCCGTCCTCTACTGAAGAAGCGTGGCTTCTAACTTCCACCCAACCATTTGATTCCCAAGTTGCCCCACCGGCCATCGCCAATTTACAAACCCTTGCCACCGCCGCGTTTTTGAATTCTGATCTCCACTCGCTCCCTCCTGCTTCCTCATCATCTTCTTCTTCTAAGTCAAACCCCGAGTTGACCCAGTCCAGCACGCAACGCGGAGATGATTCAGTACCTGTGGAAGATGAGTTGTGACACTTAGACAGATAAGGATGCTGCAAAAGCTGATCGCAACTCCACCTCTGATTCGGGTCTCGTTTCAGACACTTGTCTAAGAAATCACGGCCCATCTCCGACAGCGTCACGGGGAAAACGGGTAACTCGTCGGAGAAACCGATTCGACTCAGCGAGTCAACCCCGTGGTCTTCCCAAGCTGGTTTCCCAGTGAACATCTCGATGATCGTGCAGCCGAGAGACCAGACGTCGCTCTCCGGACCTTGGCACTCTCGTCTGATCACCTCCGGTGCCATCCAAAGCGGACTTCCACGTGGCGTGATCTGAGCCGTCGGTTTATTGATTCTGATCGCCGACCCAAAATCCGCCAGCTTGATCACGGAGCTCCGGCTAACGAGGACGTTCCTCGCCTTGACGTCGCAGTGAACGAATCCTTGTGAGTGGACGTGGCGGAGAGCAGAGACAAGACACGCCGTGTAAAGCTGGAGCAGAGTCTCGTCTTTGATCCCTCCGGCAGCGTAATTAGCCACGTCACCTTTTGGGAGATACTCTAAGTAGAGATTACGAAACGACGTAGTTCCTTCTTTTGAGTGACCGTCGCCGAGTAACCTCACGATGTTCGGGTGAGGCTTGAGGGAGCGGAGAACAGAGATTTCGTTTTCGAGAGACTCTGATTGAGTGGGCAGACACGTGGAGAGATCCACTGATTTCACGGCGAAAACTTCACCGTTGGTTTTGCTGGTGGCCGTGCTAACTGAACCGAAACAACCTCGTCCGATACAAGTACCACGAACCCAAGAAGAAGAGTGAGAAGTTGAAGATGACATTAAGGAAGAAGAAGTGTTGCTCTGTTTCTCCATGTGTGCCAACTTTCATATGTCGTAGTTATACAACACCAAGGCTATTTATATGTGTCTTTTGGAAGCTGTAAAACAGAAAATGTGAACGTGAAATAAAGTTGCAATTTTTTTTAGTTTCTGACATGGACAATTCTTGTATACTTGTCTTTACGATTTGTAAAGTCTCATCTTTTACAAATTTCCCACGTGGACATGTCATGTACAACACAAACTTTCGAGTTTATCATTAGATTTTTGAACAAATTCTACCATGTTCGATGGTCGGTTCTGGATTCTATCGATTTAAAATTTATATACATGTATTGAAATATATACTTGTAATCCATGCAAATTCTTCTTTTACTTTGGTGGAATGGATTAGTTGCTTTAAAAAACAGAAAAATATCATAAAAATAGAAATTAGAAGAAATTGTTTAATGTGCACTAATGACACTTGGAGAAGTTCTCGGGAAGTTTGTAAGAAACAAGGCACTTGCCCTATCTCCTTAATCCTTATCCAACAAGACTCAAGTTGCGGTTTGATCTTGTCCGTTTATATTTTACTCACAAAGGATAAAAAAACACACACACTCTCGCTTCACGCAATCGTTTTCGTTTTTATAACCTCAACATTTTCCTTTTTAAAATGGTCTCTTTTTACTAAGTTAGACAAGTGATCGGAGCATCTCGACTGATCGTGGCCAAGACAAATGAACAAAACGTGCCGATAGATTTGGAACGCTTGATATGTTGACATTTCTTTAGCTGTTGGTGTTGGTATTGGTCTTGGTGTGCGCTATTATATATTTGGTTGACCCTGGCATGATCAGACATGGAATATACGGTAAGTCGACGTACAAATCATTAACAAGGGATTCATGAATCCAAAACCATGTCTTAGCCAATCATACGAAAGGTGCACAATAATTAATTTTATATTCGTATTCAATTAGAGCATAAAGAAAGTGAAGGTGTAGAGTAGCAGAATATGTACGTGAAGTAGTTAGTGGATATCCGAATAAATATTCCCGAGTTTATAAAAGAGATGCGATGATAGAAGAGGTTGCCGAAAGGGGTTGGGTTTAAAAACGGTGGTCCAACTGGAGGTGTACGTGGCATGAAACCGTTGGTTCATGTTCTTTGACATATCAACCAGTTGTCTGAACACACATATTGGGAATTGACGTGCTTGATCAGCCTCCACGTATAGTGAAAATATTATATTACTTCTATTTTTCTTTTTGTTATTTGTTGTTGTTGGGATCATGAAGCACAAGGATTTTTACTCAAAAACGTTATCCGAAGATATCTACTGATCACGGAGATCGACTTGAGATATTGGAAGGTAGAAGATGAAATTAAGGGTTATTAATTAACTTTTTCTAACTGAAGAAGAGATGGTTGGCTCGGAAATAGTTAGTAAATTTAAAGCTTATAATTTGCTAATTGTCTATCGTACACCATAGTCTTATCTGATCTTTGAATTATTCCAAAACACACAGAAAATTTTATCACGCATTCCTAAAGAAAGAAGAAAAAATCCGCCGCTACTAAATATATATTTTAGTCAGTAATTTGTTGTGTCTCTACTCTCTAGCAAAAGCTTTGACCTTCCGCGAACGTGAAGTGCTATTTGAACGGTCCACCACTTGTTCCATATCCTCTTAAGTCTTAAGGGCAAAACTATTTTTCACCTTTTATGTGTGTATGAATAAATTACTAGACATGTCCAAAAGTTAAGATATTATTTGGAGATTTTAGGACCCATACCATATCCTTCCAACTTAGATGTATTAAGAGGAATAGGAGAATCCACTTGGAAAACAACTCAAGACAACGACATTGCAACATGTACTTTTGAATACCGTACTAAACTTTCGGACTTTTCAGTGTTTTATCGGATTAAGTTAATAGCTAAAGATATTTATCTCCTAAATATATAGTATACACTAAAAAGTACATGTCTTAAACTTTGATCTTGCGTCCGTATAAACGTTTAAATGATAAAATTTCAAAACAAAAAGGAATTAACTTTCAAAACCGAATATTGTATAATGAAACAAATTCAGTCAAAGAAACATGCTAATTTTACGTGTATATTAGATTTGTAATCATTTATCTAGTAGTCTAAACGTAAATATTTATACGATTGCTAAGATAAAAAAAAAGTAAATGTAATAATTGGATAAGTCTAACTCTACTGCTCCGGGTATTGCAAGAGGATATAACTACTAACTAGGGATGTGGATATTTTTCAATTCTCCATCGTTACGTGGTGACCGGCTTGGCCTCCACAATCAGGTACTTTGAGTATGTAAAAGTTGAACATGCTTTTTTTATTTGTGTTTCCTTCTCCTCATGTTTACTCTGTTTTAGGAATTCTATGTGTACTCTGTTTTTATAGTTTTGGAATAAGATGACAAGAAACTGAAGAAAAATACAGTAATGTTTATGATTTTTATTTAATCATAAGAAGCTTATTTTTGTCAAAGGTAGTATACACAAAAGTTTCGTTACAACTAAAATAACTAATTGAAGTTAAAAACTACCAAGAGAATGTAAGAAGGACTCCAAACTCTAACGTCTGAAATCTAAAGATGTTTTCTTATCTTTATATTTCTCCTATGGTGGTCATAAGAAGCGGCACAACGGAATCAACATCACACTGATATCGTCCAAGGAGCCTCGTGATACAGAGAGGTCAACGAGCTTCTTACAAGCTAGCAAAGGCTTCAGTTTCTGATCCATTCCCATGCAAAATGGTCGAGCTATGTCTACTGCCTCCTGATTACTAACCTTGTCCCATAAACCATCTGACGCTAAGATCAAGAACTCGTGTTGGGGATCTATTCGCAGAACCTTTGTCTCTGGATTAGATATTATCCATTGTTTGAGATGAGCATCTCCGATCCCTCTAGATACTGCTAAAGATCCTTGGATTCTCCAAACACTATTGAATGTATCAACATAACCTCCCGAGCTCTCAACTCTGTTACGTTCATCTTCTCTCGAAGGGCGATGATCAGAAGTCATAGCCTCCGCGAACCCTCCAACGCTCAGAACAGCACGGCAGTCACCAGCATTTGCCACCACAAGATTTCCATCGTTGATCAGAGCCGTGACACAGCACGAGCCACCCTTAGCATCTTTCTTCCTAAGAAACTCAGAATCAGTCGCTAGATAACCGCGTTTTACGGCTTCTTCAATCTTTGAATCGTTCATCCCGCCAACAATCTCATCTAGAATGTTATTACACAAGTTGTTAGCCGCAAACTCAGCAGCTTTTGATCCTCCGTGACCATCATAGACTCCGAATATTGCCTGAAATAATTAGAACATTCTTAGTGATTCTGTTGTAAGTAATACAATTACTCATACAATTCTAGAACCAAACTTCACAAAGCTGATCATTGACTCACACACACCATAATGAAACCTTAAGTTATATATTAAAATTGAAGTATTACCTGTTTTGGATCACCTCGGAGATTGGTGATGGCAGAGAAACGATCCTCCATAGCTTCTCTTCTTCCTCTCTTGCAATAAACAGAGTACTCATCACCTTCACTCTCCACCACCTCTCTGCGCTCCTCCCTCAGCGTCTCTGTAGTCACCGCCTCAGCTGATATAGGTGCTGAAATAGCCGCTGGTATGTCAAGCCTCATCGGGCGTTTCCTCTTCAGAACGCTTCCGGGAACAGAGTCCGATCCAAAACCTAGTTTAGCGGTGGGTTTAAGGAGACGGAGGCAGAACGGAGATGCGGGAGTCGCAGAGGAAGGAGAGGGAGAAGAAGCTGGAGGATTGAGATGGGATAGGGATAGAGTTAGGGTTTCATGAGCCGGAGGAATGTTCGACGTTTTGTTGCAGAAAAGTGACGACGATGACGGAGAGAACACCGGCGAGTTGCAAACGGCAACTGTAAACGACATCGTTTGTAAAGAAAAACGTTTTCCAAGGTAATTTGATTTGTGTCTACGAGAGTCGTTTTGTGTTTTTTCTTCTTGTAAGTGTCAACGAGAGAGAAAGTGTCATTTACTATATATACAAGACAAGTCTCTCAAGTCTTCGTGGCGGTAGTTGCTTCTTCCAGCCTTCCAGGTCAAACGTTACCACTCTCATCTCTCCTTCTATTTGACTTTTTCAAATCATGAATCCACCGGCACAGTCCATTTTTTCCGCTTTTGTATTTCTTCGTCAACGCCCATAGATTAGTTACTCCATCTTCCAGAAATATCTTATCCTTTGCTCAAATGATTTTTGGTAACATCATCAGAAAAAAAGTCAAAGAAGGAAATATTAAGTTTGGTCTCCAAAGAAAAGGCCGACGAAGTAGGAAAAATCAAAAGCGCTTACATAAAAAGAGGCCATCAAGAAAGCCCATACTAGCCGGACCGACATGATGGATATGGATATTTTTAGCGGTGATTTTAGAAACCCGACCCGGTTCGTTATATTCCAACTACAGCAGCCGTCTCTTGTTCATATCGGCGCTCGGAGATCGGGGATCGCTATTCGCTAGTGACACCTTCTTCTTCGTGTCCACTCTCCATCCAGATCAGGTTAGATTCTCTTTTCGTTTGTTTCCTTTATTTTTTAACCTCGATTTATGTGTGGTAGCTATTTCTGAGATTTCATTCTCTGTTCATGTTTCTCTGAGTTGTTAGGGTTTTTGCGGTAACTATGTTTATTAATGTTTTGCGCAACTCCGTGCAGTGTATTTTGAGTTCAACCAGATTTTATTTTGATCATCGCTAGTTTCTCTATGTGTACGTTTTGTTGCTTTGTGGTGAGCAGGCTAAAACTTAACTCGAATTTGTGTTCGATTCAGCGAATTGTTGTTCACTATGCAGAGAATTAGCAAAATTCACTCTCATTGCATTTAGTTAGCTAGAATTGGCCTTCAAACTTCCTTTTTTCTTCTTATCTGAGTGAAACTGTTAATAGAAGAATTGCTGCATAGTAGGTGTTCGTTGAAATTCCTCTTAGAAACAAAATATTAAGAAACAACCTAAAGTCTCGTACTGTCTAGTTTACGTTGAAATAATGACCCTAGAAAATAGATTTGAAAGGTTACATACATAGAATAGTTGTATCTGGCATTTACTTGATTGAAATAAGGCTACATAAAGGGAATTTTCATTATTTTTTCTTGCTGAAGGAGATGTATCTGTGCTATTACTAATCCATAAAAGTGTTTCATTTACTTTGGAATTTTGCAGGTCGAAAACTTGATAGGGGACCAAGATCGTGTCTAAGCAGCCATGGCCAAGCATCATCCTGATCTGATCATGTGTCGGAAACAACCTGGGATTGCCATTGGGCGATTGTGCGAGAAATGCGATGGCAAATGCGTGATATGCGATTCCTATGTCCGCCCTTGTACACTGGTTCGGATCTGCGATGAATGTAACTACGGTTCATTCCAGGGGAGGTGTGTCATTTGCGGAGGAGTTGGAATCTCAGATGCTTACTACTGCAAAGAGTGTACACAACAGGAGAAAGACAGAGATGGTTGTCCTAAGATTGTCAATCTTGGCAGTGCGAAAACGGATCTGTTCTACGAACGTAAGAAATATGGATTCAAAAAACGATGATCACTGTTGGTTACTCGAGCTATTTGATCTTTACTAATGCTAGGAAGAAAGTGTTTGTACTTGTCTGTGTTAAGAAAATTTATCCGGTGAAGAAAGATTAAGACATGTGTATTCAAAGAAAATATGATGGTTTGTTGTTTACTCATGTGTCTTATCGATTAGTCGAACGTGTTAGCTTTTTACAAGCTTGGTTAATTAAGTTGCCTTTTCTGAATGACGCAATACCTTAACATAATAGTCTTCACTGTTCAAGCTTCAACACATAGACTATAGTGTCCCCTTTTTACCACATTACTGAATTCAGGTATATAGTGGAATGCACTTTTTTTTTTTGCTGATTCAGGGGTTTTTTTGGAGTCGGTTCCAACAACTCTATATTTGAATTTAGTGATAAAATGTCAACTTAAAACTTTACAGAATACGCAATAACTCCCAAAAAAAGGATATCATCCATTACATTTGCATAAAACCCCACATGATCGTCAGAAATATTCCTTTTACAAAGTGAGGGAACCCCAAAAAAATTTAAACGTTGACTTTTTGTTAACGGACGGTGTCTGTAAAAGTCAACTCCCTCATGCATGTTAGCTTCGGTTATGTGTTAACTGTTAACTTAACAGTGTGGAATCCACAATTTGGCACTCAATAGTCAACTCCTACATCCAATTAGACTATGCCACGTGTTATATTAGCTATTGTTGGAACATCCCAAACAGATTATGTATTTCGACCTTGAATTTGATCGCCTACTACTTGATTTAATATCTAACTTCTTTTTATTTAATCTCATTGAGCCCTTTAAAAGATATACTGTAAGTCAAACAAAAACTTAGACGAAACGTGATACTGTGCCCGTTAAGAAAAAGCGTTTGGTTTTGTAAGGAAAAAAGGTTTATGTTGATGATTTATTTAGAGACAAGCGTTTAAACAATCAAAAATTCAAAACACATATGTATATTCAATATTTTTATAGGGACATAAAATGTTGTATAGCCTTACTACGAGAGAATATTCTAAACAAGCAGGTCTATATACGTAATACGTACCAAGTTACCAACCTTATAGCAAAATGTTTCGAAATCTATTGAGCCCTAAAACATCAGAGGTCCCTAACTATTTCATTATATATTTGCTTGAATGTATAGATACCAACATATTCTTTTTTTTTTTTGTAGATAAAGTTTCTTTTATATAAATACATTAGAATATTCCGGTTATACAGCACTGTCCGAAAAATATATTATGTATATTAAAGTAGTTTGGAAATAACATTTTGCGTGTTTATAAAAGGAAAGGGTCACAAGAGATATAGTTGAATAGAGGAAAGAGAGAGAGCGACAGAGAGAAAAAGGAGAAGAAAGAAGGAGAAATTAGAGAGGCAGGATGGGTTATTGTTATGCAATTCGGCTATGTTTATGCATCTTCTTTGCAATTTCGATTGTCTCTTCAGCTGGAATCACGTTTTCATCATTTTCAGGTAACTACACAAATCTAGCGCATCACGATGATTACCATCTACACACAATAAAGATGAGTATTAGAGTTGAATTTATTTAGAGTACTTATCAAATTTTCAAAATCCGTAATAGTGTTTTCGCTGGGATTGCCTAGTCTCTTCGATACTAATGATTAATCGTAATCGTAGGTGTATCGGTTTAGATCTATCTTCTATGTAGTCAAATGGTTGATTGGCGACCCGTGATACATGTGTGTAAAGGGCGAGATAGAGTCTTTCATAACATATTATTATTCAACTGTGTTTTAGTTTCGGTTTTGTTTTTTTTCGTTTTTGTTTGTAATTACTTTTACAAAAAAGAAGAAGTTCGTAATATACGTTAAACTTACATGCAAAGCAGAAAATGAAAAGATAGTGGAGAGAGATAGATCGTTGATGGTGAGCACCAATGACTATGGTGAGCCATCGGCCAACGCACGGCACAACCCACCAGGAAGGCGTAGAGGAGGTCGGAGAGGATGAAATAATGTCTTGTGATACATGATATAATATTTTTTTGTTACATCGTTTCTATATATATATATATTATGAGTGTATCTTTTTATATATAGTGAATAATATTTTGGGAGTCTTAAAATAATATTTACTGATAAATTAATAAACAAATCATGAATCGTTTATACATTTTTTGTATCGTTCGATGATCTCAGTTTCAATAAATGGTAAAGGAATTATTTCGTTTTACGTGTGTGTGTAAACGTGACCGTCTGTATCAAATAGATTGCAGATTATATTGGGCTTTTATTTTTAATCGTGGGCTTTCTTAAAACCCAAATTAATATGAACTACATAAACGGGCTATTGGGCCGGTGTTGTCTGAATCCGTAACCCCCTGATAACAATCAGTCAGAGAATGATCCTGACATCCTTTTCTTGCGCCCCACATGAGTCCTAGTGAATCACATGTTTTCTGTTGTCGTTTCTTGCGCAACAAGTTCTGCTGACGTTTCGTATTTATATATTTTTAGTGAATCACATTTTTGTTATTTTAGAATTTTCAACACCATTAACTTTTTCAGATTTTTTTTCTATAATAAACTCCCAATTGTTTTGTGCTTTTATACCCAATGAAAGCACATGGCGTCGTGTAAGGTCTTAAGAATTTTCGTACATATCGAAGCAGTCTTCGTGTTTTTAAACACAGAATATTCTTATTGTTAAAACGTTTTAAATATTTCTGTGGCTACCAAAAATAATAAAAATTCTTTTAGTTACAAATAGGAAGAATTTCCATTTATTTTGGGGGAGAAGATTCAGAATCAGAGTGACATCTGTCATTTCCAAATCTGGTACGTAGGTTTTTTCTCATACGTATACAGTGAATTAATACTGAATACAGTACCAAAGGCGGCTCGTAGAGGAGTTTAATTTGTTCGATTCTCTAACTCCTTAAAGGTTAGGAGTAGTAGTAATACTAACATTATTGCTTTGTCGATTTGGAGAAGTACTAAAAGAAACATGCTTTGGATCAAAAACCTCGTAAGAATCTCGCCGACAACTTCTTCGGTCGGAAACGTGTTCAGAAACACCGAATCCTACACTCTCTCGTCCCGTTTCTGCACCGCTCTGCAAAGGGAACAACAAGTGAGCGAGACGGTTCAAGCAAAGGATGTAGCTGACGGGCGTTACGACGGTTTGGCTCCGACTAGAGAAGGAGAGAAGCCGAGGGTTCTGGTTCTCGGGTCGGGTTGGGCGGGTTGTCGTCTTATGAAAGGGATCGATACGAGTGTTTACGACGTCGTTTGCGTCTCTCCTAGGAACCACATGGTCTTCACTCCTCTCTTGGCCTCCACTTGCGTCGGTACGCTTGAGTTTAGGTCCGTTGCTGAGCCAATCTCTCGTATCCAACCGGCGATTTCAAGAGAACCCGGTTCTTATTACTTCCTCGCTAATTGCTCTAAACTCGATGCTGATAATCATGAGGTAATTAACTGCGCCAATCTGAGGTTTCCACTAATTTTAATCGTTTTTTTGGTGTTTCGTATTTTAACCTTGAATACTAATTGGTTTTATGGCTAATTGCTGTGTCTTTTTTTTTTTTTTTCTTTCTTTTAGTTCGAAAACGGTTTAATAATTGTGAAGTTCTTGAAATTGTAGAAAAATCTAGTGACTATTTTGTTTTAAATGTTTTTTTTTTTTTGGGTTTTTTCTATGTGATATGTAAGAAGAAGATTCATTTGGACATTGTTTCGTTTTCTTAACAAAATTTTCGAAAGCATAAACGCAAACGCCGATTTGAGATTTCCTTCCAATTTGTGCTTGACTTTTACCATTTAAACAAAAATAAAAACTTGGGTAAAAATATTGTTTTTGTGTTTAATTGGAAAAAATGATACAGTACTAAAGGCAAACGGTGGAAGTAACGTGAAACATGTTTTGTTTTTGGCAAAGCAATATGCATGTGGTTTTGACTTTGTGTTATATGTGTGTGGATCCGGCTACTGGTTTAAACAGGTGCATTGTGAGACTGTAACCGAGGGATCAAGCACATTGAAGCCATGGAAGTTCAAGATCGCTTATGACAAACTGGTTCTAGCTTGTGGTGCAGAAGCGTCCACATTTGGAATCAATGGAGTCTTGGAAAACGCCATCTTCCTCCGTGAGGTTCACCACGCTCAGGAGATCCGTAGGAAGCTTCTACTTAACCTGATGCTCTCTGAAGTTCCAGGTATATTAAACAACACATTCTTTATCCATTTTCTTTACCTTTGAATTAAAACTAAACTCATTACTCACAAATCACATATATGCAACAATAATAGGCATATCTGAAGGAGAGAAGAAGAGGCTGTTGCATTGCGTTGTGGTTGGAGGTGGGCCGACTGGTGTCGAGTTTAGTGGTGAATTGAGTGATTTCATCATGAAAGATGTTCGCCAGAGATATGCTCATGTCAAAGATGACATTCGTGTTACTTTGATTGAGGTTTACTCCTTATGATCAAAATTTCACAAGTACTTTATAGTGCTGATCAGTTTCATAAATATAAAGTTTTGACAATTGTTTCTTTTCAGGCAAGGGATATTCTTTCTTCTTTCGATGATCGACTCAGACACTATGCAATCAAACAGCTGAACAAGGTTATATATTATTTGCTTTAGTTTGAGGGAATCTTGGATTAGTTTGATGTTGAAAGTCTGCTAGTTTTGACTTCAGTCTGGAGTGAAGCTTGTGCGTGGGATTGTGAAAGAAGTGAAGCCTCAGAAGCTAATTCTTGATGATGGCACCGAAGTTCCTTACGGTCTCTTAGTCTGGTCAACTGGTGTTGGTCCATCTTCATTTGTGAGGTCTCTTGGTTTTCCGAAAGATCCTGGTGGAAGGTTAGTTAGTTCCACTATCACAACTGAAGTTGTTCTGTTTTTTTTATTTAGAACAGTTTCTGATCTTGGATCATCCTGTTTCCGTAGGATTGGAATCGATGAGTGGATGCGTGTACCTTCTGTACAAGACGTGTTTGCAATTGGTGACTGTAGCGGTTATCTTGAGAGCACAGGGAAATCAACACTTCCTGCTCTTGCACAGGTCTCTAATGTTGTAATAGAATCCATTTACTTTTGTTCTATGGGGAGTCTTAGCTTGAACAAGTCTCTGATCTAATGAAGGTGGCTGAGAGAGAAGGCAAATACTTGGCGAATCTGTTGAACGTGATGGGAAAAGCTGGAGGAGGAAGAGCCATGAGCGCAAAAGAAATGGAACTTGGAGAACCGTTTGTGTACAAGCATTTGGGAAGTATGGCTACTATTGGAAGATACAAAGCTCTAGTTGATCTCCGTGAGAGTAAGGTATGTATTAAAAAGCTCACATTCACTTTTACTTCAGAATCCCTCAAAACACATGACATATATAGCTAACTTCGAGGAGGGAGTTTTCTTGAGCAGGAAGGAAAAGGAATATCAATGGCGGGTTTTCTGAGCTGGTTCATATGGAGGTCTGCGTATCTGACTCGAGTCGTTAGCTGGAGAAACCGTTTCTATGTCGCTATAAACTGGCTCACCACTTTCGTCTTTGGTCGTGACATTAGCCGAATCTGATCCTTATCTCTTCTCCTTTGCCACGTACTTAGCTCTGTCTCCTCTTGTGGGCACTTTATATAACCTTTAATCCCGAAATCAAAACATCTACGTCGTTTTCGTGGAACAATTCAATGAAGTCAATTCAGCATTTTACGAAGACATGGTATTGACTTTTGACTTTGAATTGAATCTTATTGAATGCCTTAGCTATTAGAAAAGCAACAAAACAATATTGAATTTAATACCGGAAATTCAACATAAAGAACACTCACAGTTACATGCCAATTCCTATATTTCGATAAGCATAATATACAACATCAGTTACCGGAGAAGATGGTTTACTTCATCTAAATACAAAAAATTTAGGAGAAATACCTAAACTCAAAATGCCAAAAAAAGCTGTGGCAAATTGGTACCCCCTACACAAACCTATGTACCAAGTGATAGCTCAGCCATTATACATTGTAATTTACACAAGCCAAAAAAAAAACTTTCTTCCATGACAAAACAATCTGAGGATTTGAACTATTTATTACCTTAGTTATATATATATATATATGCGTGTAATCACATCACATCCACCTTCGCCGGCAACTCTACTCCCGAAGCTAAACCGCTAGAAGAAGAAGCAACCAGCTTCACGGCCAACATAGGATTCGAACCGTACTTCTGTCTTGCTTCAGCAAAGCTCGGAACAAGAACGGTTTGCATCCACTGATCAACTGTTTTCTCTTCTTCGCCCGATAGTAATGATGACCATGAAGCTGCCAGAATCTGGATGATCACTTCTTTATCAATCTCTAGATGTGTTTCGGATCCAAAGCACTGCTCAAAATTCAAACTGATCTTTTCTTGAATGGTCTTGGCTAACCCATCGAAGTCAACCGGTTTGAACATAACCTTTCCGTCTACTTGTTCAATGAAAGCATCGAACCAATCATTCCTGTCTTCTGTCTCATGATCGAGGCTAACTTCTGTCTCATTCACTGGAAGATTCAGATCCAGATATGAACGTTGCACTTTCGCTGCACGTTGCTCTGTGTCTAGCTCATGTTTTCTCTTATTTACCCCAATTTTAGCAGCATCTGCTAGCTTAATCTGCAGTTCCCAGCTTCTCGCGCTGAGAACTTGTTCCTCATCAAACTCCACAGGTTCAATAACACGATCATTAGCATTATCCTTGGCAATCTCAGATGTCACAACAACAATCACATTTTTCAGACTGATCACTCTTCCATGCGAATCACGGAGTTTCCCGGTACTCACAGCTTCAGACAATCTCATCTGATCCGGGAACTCAGCTTTTTCCACGTTTTCTAGTAAAATAACAGAGTGTGGTTTCCTTGATAACTCACCTGTTATGTAATCAACCACTGTTTTGCCTCTAAATTTGTCATCCGAAGAAAAATGCTCTGCCCCAAATTCTACACAGATGCTATTAACCTGACCACCAAAGAAGACTTCAGAAAGAGTCATTGCTATTTTTTTCTTCCCGACTTTATCAGGTCCAAGAAGAGCCAGCCAAATTCCGTTTGCTTGGTTTTTTCTAGTGGAGTCGATTTTGCATCCACATATAATTTGGCTTATGGCATTCACAGCTTCGGTCTGCCAGGGAACTTTACGAGAGAGTGATTCTCTGAGAGACTTGAAATCTTTCTGATACGTATGCTCTAAAGAGGAGTTTAGAGTCACCAGAAGCGGTTTCTCCCTCGCTGTTTTTGATTCCTGGCTTTTTGATGCATATATTACTCCCAACCCTAAATCTGTAGTAACACAGCTCAAAGGCGAACTCACCGTCCGGTTAATCACCAATGTCGTGGGATCCTCCATATGTTTTGGCTTTGAGATTGGCGGATTCAGTAGTTTAGGCGCGTCCAAGAAGCTTGTAGGGGTTCTGCTGGGAATAATTGGACCATGGGGATCGGTTGGGCTTCTCTTGCTCTTCTCGGTCAGAACTGGGAACTGTGGACTCACAGACTGAAAGCTGAGTTTAGGGAATGCCGGAGTATGATGGATGCTTTGGCATATATTGTCCCATTTCTTCTGCAGAGCTGCAGTTTGTGAGGCTGACGTGTTAGCGCCATCTGAAGCCTGCACTGAATCAGAACCAAAATCGCTGAAGATATTACATCAACACCATTAGAAGTGACTGAAAATTAGGAAGAAGTTGATAAAAACACACCTTACTGTTGCCCACTGTTCCCTTGTCTAATTCCATCTCTGCAGCCCGTAGCCATGAGGGTAACTTCTCAGAACATTGGTCAGCCAGAGAGAGACTTGAACCGGCCTTGATAACAGCGGCTAATTCTTGCAAATACTTATCATTGCAGAGTTGACATCTCGACAGCGTCTGATTCACTGTGCTACTCAAAGGTACTCTGAAATCTGATGTTGACGAGAAGAACCCTCCAAACGGAACAAAGGATCCCATCAAGCTGTAGCCAACAGATTCATCCAATTAGGAACTTGATCAGTTGTAAAGTCGAATTATACATAGTTTTGAGAAAAGACAGAATATTAGTGTCTACTTCCAGAAAAATGGGAAGCATAAAGCTGGGAAGGAAGTGCCATGAGAGTGGATATGTTAAAATATTTGAGTTTATGTTTTCGACGTTGACGCAAACAATAAACTATTCCCACAAGTTTAGTGCTGTTTCAAGTCATTCAACCAAATTAAAGAGATATAAATAACATTCAGTTCTCCAGTCTAATGTTAATGGAAATAGCAGAGGCAGACCTTGATTTGGGATAAACCCCTTGACTCGAGGGTTTAGAGGCTGTGATTGGAAGGACTTGAAGGTCCCAATCTTTCTCGATGGTAGGAAACCGACCGATAAGCTTCGTGTAAGTCTCGTTGCTCGATGCACATCCAATGAACCAAAGTTTCTTACTTTGATCTTTCAGCAAATCCGAGAGCTTCAACACTAAATTCTCAAGAGCATTAGCTTCACTCGTGAAGACATTGAACTCTCCCAGATTAAGCACCATCCCCGATTTCGAGCCAGGTTGCTCTAAGATTCTTCCTAAATCGTCAATTTTCCCACGAATCTCCTCGTCAGTTCTTGAACCATCGGCTAAAATTTCACTAATCTCCTTATCTAAGCTAATCACGCCTAATCCGCTAATCTCCATTGGAAGGAGCCCTAGCTTCCCGCTACTGATCGAATCGATGAACGTTTTAAGAGCTTCGTTAGCACAATTACCAACAAGCAGAGGGTTCTTCCTATCTTTCCGGCCTAATACTTCTCCGATTCTCCGAGAATTCTCATCGAATCCACTGCCCCCACTAAACGGGAGCTCACGATTGGGATCCGAGTTGGGAAGATTACAGAGGAAGAGAGGCGGACAACGACCTCGAGAGAAGCGGGAAGAGAATTGCGTTACCGGAGGGTGAAGCACATCAAGCTTGATATCGGAGCTCCGGAACCCGGCTTCACCAAAGACCCGGTTCACAATCGGATCGTCGAGGATCGAGAGTAAGAAGTACTTCAACTCAACTTTCAAAACGGTGGTTTGACATCCGCCGACGGCGTTACTGGCGTGGATCTGGTGGAGGTGATAAGACTCCGGGTGCCGTCGCTGATTCGCCTGAGAACGTTTGATCGCGGCCATGAGGGAATTGGAAACCGGAGGATCTTCATCGGTCGCCGGAGACTTGGAGGAAGGAAGCCTGTCGAGAGAGACGCCGACGCAGAGCTCGAGAGCACGGAATTGAAGACTGGAGGAGTAAGGAATACTCCGAGCGGCGCGTGAGACGCAAATATCGCGGAGAATGGAGGAGGGCATAGCAAGAAGAGCAGAAACAGCATGAAGCGACGTGGTCTGGGCGTGGCTTCTACGACGAGCGACGGAAACAGCATCGTCAAGAGCACGAGCAGCTTCGTCGGTCAGGCATTCTCTCGCCGTAGAAACCGGCGTCGGCATCGCCGGAGAAAGAAAGTCAAAATAAAAAGTGTAAGAAACAAAATTCACCAACAAGCCTTTCTATCTCCAATCAAACAAAATAATAACCCAACTTAACTCTCTCTCCCCACCAACAAAAATATCAGAAACTTAATAGAATAAAAACAAAACAAAAAATTTAAAAAATATTTATATATAAAAGTGAGGCGTGAGATTTCTGAAAAATCGAAAAAAAAATTGTTATTTTATTAGTCTCTTTAGCTCAAAAGTTATACACGTATATAATCATATATATATAAAAATATGATTTGCGTTTTGTTGTTGTTGTTGTTGATGTCTTTGTCTGCGTTTGGTTCAATCCTCTTACAGGCTTGGATATGCACAGAGAGACTTTTACACACACACACAGCAGCAGCAGCAAGGAGGAGGAGTCGTTGTTTTGGTGGTATCTTGCTCTCTCGTAAGAGGACCCCTCCATTATTTGGTCTGAGTTTTTATATATATATTTTTCGTTTTTCTTTTTATTTTTTTTCTAATAACACGACTGAGTAGGATGGTGAAATTTCAACGAATATATGTGGTGCTCGCAGCATCTCTCGCATTTTTCCCAACTTTACTACATTTTCTGATTCTCTCTTCAATTATTCTGAAACTTTTTTTAGATCTATTTGTAGCATATGTTGAAGAGTTTATCCAAACCATACCTCGAATACAAGATTACAAAACCTTTTCTTGAGCAAAGATTGATTGATTACTTTTTACTAATTACCGACATGAGAGAGAGAGAGAGAGAGTAAATAGTGTTGCATGCAATGCCCTATTTGCTTCTTTCTTCTTCTTCTTCTTTTAATAATTATTTTTCCTCTCACCCGTCAAATTTTTCACTGCTTTTTTCACCACTCCATAGATTCGACATTAGATCTTTGTCCCCCCTCCCCCCCTCCCCCAATTTTTTTATCTTTAAACACAATACTGTATATATTTATTATGTTATATATATATATATATATATATATATACATGGCTGGTGTTTACTACTTAATTACTGGATGGAAACACATATTTCTTTTTTGTAACGCGTGCCAGCTATTGACAATTCTATACGAATGATAGTTGAGGTTTTGGAATTGGAACATGAAGGAGTCTACATCTCTCTATCTGTTTTTGTTGTCTTTTTGGATAAAATCTTTCATAAATAGTAAAACAAAATTATTTGGTTTATGATCCAAAGAGAAAAATTGGGATTAACAAAGAAAAGTCAACTTAATTTATTATACTCCCTACATGTGAAAATATTGGAAAAGGTATATAATATAATGCGTGGTAGACAATGACTAAACTTTATAGAGAAAAAAAAAAGAAGTAGATTAGGTGAATGTCATAAGAACAAAAGAGGAAAAGCATCAGAGAGAGTCCCAAACACCCAACCTTTTCATTATGCTTTTTTTTTTTTTTTTCTTTGCATCATTGTCATTGTCATTTATCATCCAATAAATTAGATTATATTGTGTTTCACATTTACTTTAACACACACATCTTTGATTCCCGATCGTAGAGGCATCTTTTGACATTACCATTTCTTTAAAGTTGGTTCCCATGGTTTGCTGCCCTCCCCCCACCCAGTCCTTGATTAAGAGTGACACTTGTTTGATTCAAATGCCTGGCAAATAGATCATACATGTGTGTGTGTGTGTGGGCAGTGGCAGTGGCACCTTAAATGATATGATGATCAAATAGTATATATATATAGTAGCACGCAGTCGTGTAAAATTAATTAAATCTCATAGTATATTTTTATGCTAATTAAGTAACATAGAAATAAAAGCAAAGAAAGATACAATTATTATAAACGTGATCCGCTGTATGGAGCACACAGTAAAAGACTATTAAATGCGAAAAGTGAAGCTAACGACATCTGTGACTGGCGTGGCAACCAACGGTCTCTATTTCATCCTGTGGTCCTTCCTTCTTCGCGGCTCGCGGGTGTGGCTGGCTACTTTATAAAGTGAATGACGTTTATTTGTTACTTCCATTAGAATCATGACACGTGTTAATAAAAAAAAAACATAATGTGAAGAAGCACCGTAGAGAATTAGTCCTCCTCGAGCAACGATCTACAAAGCCCCCATTCGGCAAAAAAGAAGCTACAAAATCCCTAACAATATTTCATTTAACAAAAACAATTTATTTAAATTCGTAATAGGAGAAAAAGTCCTTAAACCCTACAAAATTAAAAAAATTACAGATCCAACCAAATAATTCGACCCAAACCCGAACAAATATTGGATACCCACTTTTCTTTAGTTACCCTAATTTGAAAAGTAAAAATAGATCTGTAAAAAAAAAAAAACAAACTCCGACGACTCACTCTTCCGTCGATTCTCCTTCTTCTCTCTTCGTCTTCGTCGCTTCGTCGTCGGAGATATAAGTCGTCTCTTCTCCTTCTTCTCTCTTCGTCTTCGTAACCTCGCCGTTTGTCTCTCCTTCGTCTTTGCTCTCTCCTTTCGTATCTCTCTTTGTCGCCTCGCCGTCGGAGGTAGTCGCTCGTCCTAGCTCGTCGCTGGCCGCCGGAGCTCGTCCTCATCTCCAACTCGTCGACAGTCTTCTTATTGGTAAGTTCTCTTCCTCTTTGACATTTTGTGGTTCCTCCTCCTCCCGTTGAAACAAAGTCGTCGATACTCTTCTGACACTTGTCCTCATATGTAGAGTTTCCTAGGACTGGAATTGAAATTGAATTTGGAATTGGAATTATTCATTGAAACTGGATTTAGAGGGGGTTATTGAACTGTGTATTTTAAAAGAATTGAATGGATTCTGAAATCAGTCGTTATTCAATTAGGTAATTTATAAAGTACATTAAAATCCAGTGTTATTGGATTATGTATTTGTTTGATGTATTTTAAAATACTTTGAAAACAGTGTTATTCAATGTGCAAGTGATTTGGTATCATTTCAGATTTCATTGTATTTCATTCTAAAAATATGAACAAACAAAATCCAATATATTTTCTCACGTATTCTAAATCTTTCTATTCCTCCTTCTCTTTCTCTTTCTCTCTCTATTCTTCTCAGTCTCTTCTTCTCTCTTAATAAAAAAATTCTAGATCTTTACTCCAGATTTACTCCAGGTAGAAGCACAAAGGAGGATG